TGTCTCTGTCTTGCCCCCGCTGCTCACTCTCCATCTCTCACCCTGCCCGTCTATACTTCCATGTCTCTGTGTCTCTCCCCCGCTCCTTGCTCTCCGTCTCTCACCCTGCCTACCTGTCTAGTCTTGTTGGTTGATACTTTTGGCAGCAGTAATTTTGTCAGTGGGTTTTCAGTGTTCGTTCACTCTGGTGTTGCAGCTGGGATGTTACTGTGGTGACAGGATCCCATATGGGCACTGGTTTATGTTCCAGCTGCTCTACTTCTGATCCAGATAGCTTCCTGCTAATGTTCCTTTGAAAGCAGCAAGGGATGTCCCAAATGCATGGGATCCTGTATCCACATGGAAAACCGGGAAGATTCTCCTGGCTTCTGGCTTTGGACTGGCTCAGCTCCAGCCACTATGGCCATTTGGGGAGTGAACCAGCAACAACTCTCTCTCTTTTTAAATATGCCTTTCAAATAAAAATAAAGTCACACTTCTAAAAAGATAAAGGATGTAGCTTAAAACAGATTATAGTTAGTTAAGGCATAATTTTAGTACGCCTTTAACTCTATCTATGTGTTTACTTGAGAGGCAGGGAGAGACTTTCATTGGGTCCCCAGTTCACTTTCTTCTTTTTTTTTTTAAAGATTTATTTACTGGGCCCGGCGCGGTGGCGCAAGTGGTTAAGTCCTCGCCTTGCACGCCCGGGATCCCATATGGGCGCCGGTTCTAATCCCGGCAGCCCCGCTTCCCTTCCAGCTCCCTGCCTGTGGCCTGGGAAAGCAGTCGAGGACGGCCCAAAGCTTTGGGACCCTGCACCCGCGTGGGAGACCCGGAAGAGGCTCCTGGCTTCGGATCGGCATAGTATCGGCCCGTTGCGGCTCACTTGGGGAGTGAATCATCGGACGGAAGATCTTCCTCTCTGTCTCTCCTCTCTGTATATCCGCCTTTCCAATAAAAAATAATAAAAATAAATCTTTAAAAAAAGATTTATTTACTTATTTATTTTTATTAGAAAGGTGGATATACAGAGGAGAGACAGAGGAAGATCTTCCGTCCAATGATTCACTCCCCAAGTGAGCGCAATGGCCGATGCTATGCCAACCCAAAGCCAGGAACCTCTTCTGGGTCTCCCACGCGGGTGCAGGGTCCCAAAGCTTTGGGCCGTCCTCGTCTGCTTTCCCGGGTCACAGGCAGGGAGCTGGATGGGAAGCGGGGCTGTCGGGATTAGAACTGGCGCCCATATGGGATCCCGGGCATGCAAGGCGAGGACCTTAACCACTGCGCCATTGCACCAGGCCCCCCAGTTCACTTTCCAAGTGTCTAGAGTGGTCAAGACCAGGAGACAACCCATTCCCTAGCTGGTTGTCCACCTCCTGGATTGAATCAGGCGTGAGCTTGCCCCTCTCACAGGGGCATAGCTGTGGCTTCTCTACCTGGTGACTTTTCTGTTCCTTTGGGGCAGCATTTTTCCTGCTGCTTCGCATGCCTGGGAATCCTCAGTTAGTTGGCCCCTCACATCATTTCTTTGGCGAGGGCTTGGTGGTGCCATTTCCCTGTAAACATTTCTGAGCTGCTTTCTTTTTTTTTTTAAAGATTTATTTTTATTATTTTGTTATTGGAAAGGCGGATGTACAGAGAGGAGAGACAGAGAGGAAGATCTTCCATCCGATGATTCACTCCCCAAGTGAGCCGCAACGGGTCGATACTACGCCGATCCGAAGCCAGGAGCCTCTTCCGGGTCTCCCACGCGGGTGCAGGTTCCCAAAGCTTTGGGCCGTCCTCGACTGCTTTCCCAGGCCACAAGCAGGGAGCTGGAAGGGAAGCGGGGCTGCCGGGATTAGAACCGGCGCCCATATGGGATCCCGGGCGTGCAAGGCGAGGACTTTAACCACTTGCGCCACCGCGCCGGGCCCCTGAGCTGCTTTCTACACAGATCTTCTTGGGTCCTATTCTGGGACCTGCTGGCAGAAGGGCTGTTGACTCCTGCAGTGTGGCCAGGCCCACCACAGCATCCAGTGAGGTCTCAATTGCAGCTGGATGCTAAGTAGCTATTTCATGTAACTCATAGGATGGATGTTGGAACTCAGTAACAGACTCATTGTTGACTGAGATATAGGCCTAACAGGACATTTCTGCACTTTAAAATTCTTCTATAGTTAGAAGACAGGCATACAGTAACACACATGCCCATGGCTCCACTTCAGCTCACTCCCTGAAGGCTTGCAGTTTTAGTGGTGGTGGTGCTGGCCATAGCTAGGCATCTGCCACAGGGGTGGAGGCTGTCTCCTGGGTCTGCAACTGGACACTGAGTGCAGGCAGGGCCCACAAGCCTCAGCCCTGACTCCTGTGCCTGTGGTACCCTCATTCCAGGCTTACCTCAATCCCTGCCAGAACAATAGCAGCCTCACTTCTCCCGCAGTGTGGGGGTGTAGTGCAGGTGCAGTGCCCACAGCATCCCATTTCCCAGATGGGGTAATGTGGGGATTGGGCCAGTGTGACACCTGCAGAATCCCATTTCCCAGACAGTGTGGTGTGGGGGTCAGGGCTAGTGCAGCACCCATGGCATCCTATCTCCCAGATAGTGTGGGGGGCAATGCAGGTGCAGCACCCATGGCATCCCAGCTCCCAGACAGTGTGGTGTGGGGGTCAGGGCTAGTACAGCACCCATGGCATCCCATCTCCCAGATAGTGTGGGGGGCAATGCAGGTGCAGCACCCATGGCATCCCATCTCCCAGATGGGGTAATGTGGGGATTGGGCCAGTGTGACACCTGCAGAATCCCATTTCCCAGACAGTGTGGTGTGGGGGTCAGGGCTAGTGCAGCACCCATGGCATCCCATCTCCCAGATAGTGTGGGGGGCAATGCAGGTGCAGCACCCATCTCCCAGATAGTGTGGGGGGCAATGCAGGTGCAGCACCCATGGCATCCCATCTCTCAGACAGGGGGAGCTGGTGTGGTACCCAGTATCCCATAGCTCTTGCTCCTGTGCTCATCCAGCTCCCTGCTAATGGTCTGTTAAAGCAACAAGAGTGACCTGCGTGCTCAGGCTCCTGGCTTTGGACCAGACCAATCCTGTCCATTGCAGCCCATCTGGGGAGTGAATGAGTTTCATTTCAAATAAAATGACCATGTGGTCTAGCGGCTAAAGTTCTCACCTTGCACGCCCCGGGATCCCATATGGGCGCTGGTTCTAATCCCGGCCGCTCCACTTCCCATCCAGCTCCCTGCTTGTGGCCTGGGAAAGCAGTCGAGGATGGCCCAAAGCTTTGGGAGCCGGCACCCATGTGGGAGACCTGGAGGAAGTTCCTGGATCCTGGCTTTGGGTTGGCATAGCATTGGCCATTGCGCTCACTTGGGGAGTGAATCATCGGACAAAAGATTTTCCTCTCTGTCTCTCCTCTTCTCTGTATATCTGACTTTCCTATAAATAAATCAATCTTTAAAAAAAAAAAATGACCATGTCAGAGTTAATTCCCTTACTCTGTGTCCTCAAATGTCCACTCCACCTTCACATGACAGCTTAGTAGTCACTTCCTCTCAGCATTTAAGACATTCCTCCACAGGCTGCTGCCCCTAATGAGACATCAGCACTTTGTTCCCTGGCTCTTACACGGTACTGCCTCTTCATCCTTGCTGGGTGCAGTCCCGCTGTGTTTGGATGTGGGTTTATTTCTATCTATGTGTGGTACATAGAACCACTTGCAATAGCTCCCTGTTTGCCTGAAGTTCCACAAAGACTCAACTGGTGTGTTTCTGTCTGCTGTGGAAGGTCATCCAATGTGACTGGGCTTATGAACTGCTTTTGTCCTTACTGACATATCAGTAAGTGCAGATGTACTGAGGTTTTTACAAAACGCTTAACCCATAAAACAAAGTGTCAGCATCGCAGAACAGTGGCTCAGGTCACCACCGGGACGCTGACATCCTGTGCCCTAGTGGCAGTCACTGTCCCATTTCAGACCTACTCCCTGCTAATGTGCCCAAGAAGGAAGGTCTTGGGGCCCTGGACTCAAGTGGGAGACCTGGACAGAGTTCCACACTCAGGATCCTGCCATTTAGGGAGTGAGTCACCAGATAAACAACTGCAGACAACAGCGATGAATCCCACGCGGGGTCCCGCCGCGACTGCGCTGTCCCCGGGCCTTCTCCACAGCCGCGCCTGTCCGCTCTCCCACCACATACAGACAATGGCAAAAACCGGCCAAGCCCGGGGCCAGCCAGCCAGGCTGGATCGCACAGTCAGCCTCCGCCCCGGGCAGGCAGGTCGCGGGGCAGCGCGGCCAGGGAGCGGCCGTCCGGTGGGCGCCGCGTGGGCCAGGAGCGTGGAGGATCCCCAGGGTCCCCGCCGGCCGCCCACCCGGGACCCCGCCGGCCCACCCGGGACCCCGCCGGCCGCCCACCCGGGACCCCGCCGGCCGCCCACCCGGGACCCCGCCGGCCCACCCGGGACCCCGCCGGCCGCCCACCCGGGACCCCACCGGCCGCCCACCCGGGGCCCCGCCGGCCGCCCACCCGGGACCCCGCCGGCCCACCCGGGACCCCGCCGGCCGCCCACCCGGGACCCCGCCGGCCGCCCACCCGGGGCCCCGCCGGCCATCCCCGAGACTTCGCCGGCCGCCCACCCGGGACCCCGCCGGCCCACCCGGGACCCCGCCGGCCGCCCACCCGGGACCCCGCCGGCCCACCCGGGACCCCGCCGGCCATCCCCGGGGCCCCGCCGGCCGCCCACCCGGGACCAAGCTGGCCATCCCCGGCACCGAGCTGGCTATCCCTGGGGACCCCGCCGCCAGCGATCGTAGCCGCGGATCGCCTCCACTTGCTGCAAGGCTGCCGGGACTTGTAGTCGGCGCCGGCGTTCCGACGCTGCCAGGCGCGTGTCCTGCCGGGACTTGTAGTCCAGCGCCCGCTGGTCCAGGGCAGAGGGAGGACGGTGGGACTCGGAGTCCCAGGGAGCCGCGCGGCGACATCCTCGTCGCCCCGGTCACCACCGCCTCCGCGGCCGCCGGGGTCTCTCGCCCGCCGCCGCCGCTGCTTCTCGGGCCAGTCCGCGCGTCCCCGGGGCGGACGGAGGCTGCGGGTGGGAGCCCTCGCGGGCCCTGCGGCGCGGGCCGGGGGAGGCCGGGCTGGAGCCCCGGGGCGGTGAGGGCCGGGCCGGGCGGGGGCCGGGCGGCGTCCCGGGGCCCTGACGGCCGCCGTGTCCACAGCGGACTGACGCGAGCGCCGAGGCGCCGGCGGCCGGGCGAGCGCGGCGCCGACATGGCTCACCTCCGCGGATTCGCCAGCCAGGTGAGGCGGTGTCTGCGTCCCGCGGGGCGTGGGCCCGGCCGCCCTTCCCTGCGAGCGCCGGCAGGAAGCGCGTCCGCCCGGGCCCGGAGCCGAGGAAGCCGACGGGTCTGGGCACCCGGAGCCCGGCCGCCCGTGGCCGCTCACAGGCGCTGCGGGAGGCGACTTTGGCTTCGTGTTGGCTGTGGAGAGAAAAAAAAAATCCGTGGGCTGAGAAATGGAGCTGGACAGGGGCCCCCGGGGTAAGGGGCGCCCTTGCCAGGCGGGCCGGAGGGTGTTCTAGCCTCTGGTCGTGCCTTGCTGGGCAGTTCCCTGAGTGACGGCGAGGTGGCCGCCCTGCCCCTGGCCAGCCCGCAGCTGGGCCCTAGACGGTGTGGGGCAGATCCCCCAGGCCTCTGCTGCAGAGCCGGCGAGCACCTGGCACCCCCTCCCAGGAAGGAGTGGGCAGTCGGGTCACAGCCAGGGAGGCTCTCCCCACTAAGGCTGGTGGAGCGTGGCTGCCACCCTTGATGGTGGGATTCGGGGGTCCACGAGGCCATGCTCAGGATGCTGGGTAGGACCAGATCTGGCTCCCACTTTGTGTCCACCCAGTGGTTGGTCCGGCTGGTGGGAGTGGTGCCATGGGGCAGTGCTTTGAGGGTAGTGGACTGTCCTCGGCATGCCAGGAGGATGCAGGCTTACAGCAGCGGGCAGAGCTGATGGAGTCCCCAGGATGGCCACCCAGGGTTGGAGAGTAGATCAGGCCATTGAGGTAGGTGCCTCCCAGTGGCCAGGAGGGCTGGATCATTCTGGGCATGGTGGAGTGCTCATTGACACTACACCCACAGCTGACATGTAGAGGGCAGGAAGTGAGCACCTGTCAGGGTCTTGCCATGGGAGTGACCGGATGTCAGTCGGGGTCCTGCAATGGGGGTGGCTGGGTGTCAGTAAGGATCCTGCAATGGGGATGGCCGGGTGTCGGTCAGGGTCCTGCCATGGAGGTGACCGGGTGTCAGTCAGGGTCCTGCCATGGAGGTGACTGGGTGTCAGTTAGGGTCCTGCCGTGGGGGTGACCGGGTGTCAGGATCTTGCCATAGAGGTGACCGGGTGTCAGGGTCCTGCCGTGGGCGTGACTGGGTGTCAGGGTTCTGCCATGGAGGTGACCGGGTATCCCGGGTATCAGGGTCCTGCCATGGGGGTAGCCAGGTGTCAGTAAGGATCCTGCCATGGAGGTGACTGGGTGTCAGTCAGGGTCCTGCCCTGCGGGGTGACCCGGTATCAGTCAGAGTTGTCCCATGGTGGGGAGTAACCACTTGTCTGTTCGGGTCCTGTGCCAGGGAGTTAGTGCCTGTCAGGGTCCTGCCTTAGGGAGTGGCTGCCTGATCATCAGGGTCGTCCCATGGGGCGTGACCGTCTGTCAGGATCTCAGGGTTCATCACCAGGTTTGTCTTTCCTTACAGGTGGGTGGGCTCTTGCTTGTGCCTATCTGTGAGCAGTGGAGCCAGTGTGGCTTCTGGGCAATAGGAGTGAGGAGCTGATAAGTGCAACCTGAGGCCTTGGGCACCCCGGATTTTCTTGTGGTCCTGGTCTTGCACATTGGCTCTAGGCTGACCCTGGGTATCCATGATGGCCTGTCCAGACCGCAAGCATGGGTTGCACCTACCAGGTCTGGTATGGGGCTGTGCGTCTACTTGTGATAGGCAGGAAAAGGTTGCCTTTTTGCTCATCCATCCTAGCCTGGGCAGCAAGTCAAGGTACTTATTGATGCTGCAGCTGCTGGTTGGGCTGGTGTGCATCTCAAAGCCACACCATATTCGCTCAGAAGGACCCACTAGCAGGGAACTGCTCTGTGCTGTGCCTGAGGTGTCTATCTCCTGAAGCCTGTAGCTGTGGGTTAGACCCACAGCATGAGGTTGCCGTCTGGACCGGATTCTGTTTCGGGACTGACAGTGGTGGTGTGTTAAGGTATAGTTTCATGGTTAGGCCTTGGTGCTTGTTAACCTTGCAGGGTGCTGGTCTGCAGTTATCAGATATAGTTGTAGACGCCTCCCCTCCCAGTTCTCGTGCTTATGTCACACTCTGGGGACTGTCCCCTCCCCCAGGGGGGATGTTGAATTTTCTGAAGATTCCAGCAGGGGCTGAGGCTACCTCTCCAGGCCCCTGCTTATTGCTGGTGCCCAAGGTGTGCCCCTGCCCAGGGCAGCCTCTGGCTGGGTGTTACCTACCATGTCCACGCCTATCCTTTGGCCCATAGCACCCCCGTGTGGACCCCGAGGAACTCTTCACGAAGTTGGACCGCATCGGCAAGGGCTCCTTTGGTGAAGTGTACAAGGGCATCGACAACCACACCAAGGAGGTGGTGGCTATCAAGATCATCGACCTGGAGGAGGCAGAGGACGAGATCGAAGACATCCAACAGGAGATCACTGTACTCAGCCAATGTGACAGCCCCTACATTACCCGTTACTTCGGCTCCTACCTCAAGGTGCCAGTGGGCAGAGCCTTCTCTCTGGGCTGGGGGCCTGGGGGCCCACCTGCGTTGGAACCACCTTGATGAAGTGGATGCAGTCGTTGCTCTAGCCTTGGTTGTGTCTGCCCACAGAGCTTGGAGCTGCCTGCCTTGCCCCGCTTGGGTTCCTGGTGGGCTCCTCCCACCTGGGAGTGGGAGGGCCTACTCCCCTGGCCACTTCCAGGAGCTCATGGGTGGGCTTTTCTCTGTTGCAGAGCACCAAGTTGTGGATCATCATGGAGTACCTGGGTGGGGGCTCCGCACTGGACTTGGTAAGGTGTGGGCTACAGTACTGGGCGGCTGGCTTGGGGGAGGGCGAATCACTTTGTCCTGGGACCTGTGGCCCAGGGCTCTTCTGTTTGGTGTCAGTCAGGAGTTGGTGTTTGCACCCCAAGGCAGAGCACCCAGCTGGGGCCCCCTCGCCTGCTGTGTTCTGGCTGAGCAGCTCCCATCTGGCCTGGCAGTTGCAGGAACATAGGCCACCACTCTGGATGGGGACAACCTCTCTTGGAGAGGGGTGGGGTCTAGGCCCTGGCCATGAGTGGGGTTGGGTGGGGGAGCCGAGGCCCTGCTGTCCCCTCCTCTTCTCCAGCTGAAACCTGGCCCCCTGGAGGAGACCTCCATCGCCACCATCCTGAGGGAGATCCTCAAGGGTCTGGACTACTTGCACTCGGAGCGCAAGATCCATCGCGACATCAAAGGTGCTGCAGTCAGAGCATGGTACTCTGGGCAAGGGTGAGGTGGGGACCGTGGCTGCACTGCCCGTGGTCTGGCCTAGGGTGGGGTGGGTGCTGTGGTTACAGGGCTGTTGTCCAGTCTATGGTGGGGGCCGTGGCTGTGCTGCCCATGGTCTGGCCTAGAGCAGGGGCTGTTGCTTCACTGCCCATGGTCTAGTCTAGGGTGGGGGCCATGGCTTCACTGCTCGTGGTCTGGTCTAGGGTGGAGTGGGGGCCGTGGCTTCACGCTCGTGGTCTGGTCTAGGGTGGAGTGGGGACCGTGGCTTCACTGTTCGTGGTCTGGTCTAGGGTGGAGTGGGGACCGTGGCTTCACGCTCGTGGTCTGGTCTAGGGTGGAGTGGGGACCGTGGCTTCACGCTCGTGGTCTGGTCTAGGGTGGAGTGGGGACCGTGGCTTCACTGTTCGTGGTCTGGTCTAGGGTGGAGTGGGGGCCGTGGCTTCACGCTCGTGGTCTGGTCTAGGGTGGAGTGGGGACCGTGGCTTCACTGTTCGTGGTCTGGTCTAGGGTGGAGTGGGGGCCGTGGCTTCACTGCTCGTGGTCTGGTCTAGGGTGGAGTGGGGGCCGTGGCTTCACTGCTCGTGGTCTGGTCTAGGTTGGGGGCTGTGGCCACACTGTCTGTGGTCTGGGGTAAGGAACTGTCACTAACCCTGTGCCCTGTGTCCTGTCAGTCACACCTCTGCACTGGCTCTGTCACATCCTTGATGTTGGCAGCAGGTTAGATTTGCTGTCCCCCCTGTGCTTGTCCTCCTGAGGCCATGCCTGCCTTGGGCAGATGCAACTGGCAGAGCATGGGGTTTCCTGGCCAGCTTGTGGGGTAAGGTCCCCTCTGTTGAGCCTGAAGGGTGTCATTCTGCTGGGTTGTTCTGAGAGCCATGTGCTGAGGGCCTCCCAGGGCTGTGTTGGCACCCCAGTCACTGGGCTGCTGCTGGCAGCATTCCTGGGCCCCCTGCGCTGGGAAGCTGTGGGCAGGACTGCTGAGAGCAGGCCAAGCCTGACAGTACCTGTCCTGTGCCGAGCAGCCGCCAACGTGCTGCTGTCTGAGCAGGGTGATGTGAAGCTGGCTGACTTCGGTGTGGCGGGGCAGCTCACAGACACACAGATCAAGAGGAACACGTTTGTGGGCACACCCTTCTGGATGGCCCCTGAGGTCATCAAGCAGTCTGCCTACGACTTCAAGGTGGGCGGTGTGGGCGGCTGGGGCAGGGGTGCTGGCCGGCTTGGGAGCTGCATGCCACAGTGGTCCATGTGGCACCCCTTCCAGGCCGACATTTGGTCCCTGGGGATCACCGCCATCGAACTTGCCAAGGGGGAGCCCCCAAACTCAGACCTTCACCCCATGCGGGTCCTGTTCCTGATCCCCAAGAACAACCCACCCACACTCGAAGGCCCTCACAGCAAGCCCTTTAAGGAGTTCGTGGAGGCCTGCCTCAACAAGGACCCCCGATTTGTAAGTCCAGCCTGGGCGGGGTGGGTGGTTGGGCTTGGAGAGGGACCCAGGCCAGCACCCAGTCATCCCACAGTGAGGACCCTGGGGAGCCTAGTGACGGCTCCTGGTCCTTGACCTGACAGCGGCCCACGGCCAAGGAGCTCCTAAAGCACAAGTTCATCACGCGCTACACCAAGAAGACGTCCTTCCTCACTGAGCTCATCGACCGCTACAAGCGCTGGAAGTCGGAGGGCCATGGCGAGGAGTCCAGCTCCGAGGACTCGGATATGTAGGACTGGAGGGGCTGGGGTGGGGTTGGGCGGTGGGCTTGGTTAGGCTCCTCCCCTGTGCCTGAGGTCACCCTCTTTATCCTTCCCAGCGATGGCGAGGCTGAGGATGGGGAGCAGGGCCCTGTGTGGACATTTCCCCCAACTGTCAGGCCCAGCCCACACAGCAAGCTGCACAAGGGGACGGCCCTGCATGGCTCACACAAGGTCTGTCCTGTCCTGTCCAGCCTTGGGGCTAGCTCCATCTTGACTTCTGAGAGCAATGACATGGGGTCAGCGAGGACCCGTGGTCCAGCGTGTGCTTACCTGGAGCCCAGACAAGGAGCTGGGGGTGGAGTGGGGGATCTAGACAAGCTGGGAGTGAAGTTTGGGACCCAAGGCCTAAACAAGGAGCTGCGAGTGGAGTCGGCGGGCGGCGGCGGGGGGGTAGTCCCTGAGCCCTATGGACCATGGGTACAGCTGTTTCAGAGATGAAGAGTGACCCCAAGGGACTCCATTGGGTAGTGGGGGGCAGTGCTGTATATGCCAAGGCTGTCCTTGCCACTGTGGCCCAAGGGAAGTAGGGCGGTGACCAGGGCCATGGTACCCTGACACTTGCCCACTCTGTTTCTTGGCTTCCTCCAGTCTGCTGAGCCGGTCAAGAGGCAGCCCAGGTCACAGTGTCTGTCCACGCTGGTGCGGCCCGTGTTTGGAGAGGTAAGGTGGCTGGGCCTGCAGCCTCTCCCTGCAGTAACCACAGGAGTCCCTGGTGGCAGATGCCAGCTGAACCTCTGGCAGGCCTCTGCAAGGTGCTGCGTATACGGCGCCGGGAAGATGGCATGCCTCTTGGAAGGAGACCTTGTGAAGGTCCACATAGGCAGTGGTCGTGTTGGGCTGGATCAGGCAGTGCATCTGGGGTTATTGGGTTGTTTTTGAAAATATTTATTGGTGATAACAAAAAACTCCTCCCCAGAAGGCCACAGTGCCTGGGGTAGAAGTAGGGGATAATGTCTAGGGCCACGAATGGGAACTCAGGCAGGTCCCCCCAGGGGACAAGGTACCACATGAGCTGTCCCCATGGGCCCCAGAGGAGAGGTGGGGCCCATGGAGGGAGCATGTAGTCCCCAGGCAGTGCTGGGTGGTAATCCTGGTCAGGCCTCGGTGGGCCCCCACAACCTCTGGTCAGGGGTCAGGGGTCAGAAGTCAGCTGCAGTTCTCTCCACAGCTCAGGGAGAAGCACATGCAGAATGGTGGGGGTCTGGGGGCACTAGAAGAGCTGGAGAACGCCTTCAGTCTGGCTGAGGAGGCATGCCCGGGCATCTCGGACAAGCTGGTGCTACGGCTGGTGGAGCGTGTGCAGAGGTGAGGCCTGGCTTCGGGCCATGCACAGAGGGTTCCGCTTGACCTCACTGGTCCGCAGTGACTTGCTGCATAGCTTGCTGCCAGGCAGTGATGGCTGGGACTGCCTGTAGGTTGCGGGGTCCCAGCCCCAGCTGCATGCAGCTGCACCCAGCTCTCCCTGGGACTTGGCCTGGGCAGTGATGGCTGGGGGGCTGCCTTCCCTCCTCCACAGGTTCTCGCACAGCAGGAACCACCTGACCTCCACCCGCTGAGAGCTCGGCCTCGCATCTCAGCACTGTTGGACCAGGATGTGTCAGCTTGCAGGCCACCTGCCAAGGACAGGGCAGCCCTGCAGCCATGGCCTGACAGCAAGGGCTGGGCAGTTCTGTCTCCTCCCAAGGCCCACAGGCACTGTCTCCGTAAAGTATGTGTGTCACTGGGACGTCTTGTTTTTTAAGAAGTGAACTTTGTTCCCTTGATAATTTCATAGATTCATCCCCACCCCTTTGAATAAAGACCTGAACTGGTGAGTGCTGCCCCACCTCCCCTGGAGAGGGTGGCGGGCACAGCCATGTGCTGGCTCCTGGGGAGCGCGTGGGTGCCACAGGCACTTTGGTTTCTGTTTGTCCAGGGGACAGGGGCCCCCTGGCCTGACTGAGCTACACATCTGCCTGTGGGCTGTAGGACTGCCAGCTGTGGGCCTGCCCATCCCTCCACTAGCCTGTCGTGGCCTCAGTGTCTGGAGGTGCCCATGGCTGTCCTGGCTGGGGGCACATGGACAAGTGGCGGCTACTGTTGGGCTCCTTGTCCAGGATGTCCTCGTCCAGGCAGGACGCACTGCAGTCCCTGGCCTCCTGTGCATCCTGCGACCTGCTGGCGCTCCCAATCACCTCCATCCACCTGCAGAGGAAGACAAGATTGGGCTGCAGGCGCCTCCTGAGAGCCAGGGCACAAGGGGCGTGTCACACAGCTCCTACCCGACCCGGGCTTCTCCCAGAAGTCACCTCTCAAACGTGTACTTGCTTTCAGCCCGGAAAAAGTAGACGTGGGATCTGAATTGCAGCTTGAAGACGTAGTCCTTGTGGATGCTGTCATCTTCCCTGGGGACACTCACACTGTAGCCCAGCAGTGGGAGGCTGGCCAGGGGGCAGGTGTCCTGGAGGCCACACAGAACTCAGGTTCGGGGGTCCACCATTCCAGACCTCCCCCTAGAATGCCAGTGCAAGTGGTGGGGCCAAGGTCCCTATTGATGAGGGTGTCCCCGCACCCTCGTGTGCTCCAGGTGGGGAGGATGGGGTGCACAGGTGGTGCTGGCCCACACCTGGTGGCTTTTGTAGAAGAACAGACAGAAGTTGGTGACGACGACCCAGAGCTTCTGCCAGCCGCTGCTGTTCTTGAACTTGCGTAGCAGGTATCCCGAGAGCTGGTTCTGTTGGCAGTCAAAGTCAGCGTTGGTCTTGTGGAAAAGACCATGAGCTGTCCCCTGACTGCAGTGATCCCGGGAGAGCAGAGGATAGGACAGGGAGGGGCAGGCTGTCTCACATGGCCTGCCCCCTCCGAGGCCAGCTGGTAGCATTCCAAGCCCCTCGTGGGTGATGGGCATTTGTCATGGGGTTGCTGGGCTAGGAGGGGTGCAAGGAGACTGCATGCAGGTAGCAAGTAGGATGGCTGACTGCTAGTCACCCTAGGGAAGTCCGTGCACAGGCCCGGGGGCGCTACAGTACATGTGGGGGGTTTCGGGAGGGCAGTTCTTGGTGGAGGTGCTACCTCAACAGCTGCACTGTGGTCAGCTCTGGACACGCTTGTGTTCCTGTACCAGCACACATGTACCGTGGTATTGACCCGGTGTGGGCTTTGGGTGCTCCAAGCTGTCACTTCTGCCTCCTGTTCCTCGGAGACCTCACTGGAAGACGCTGGGGGCAGGATGCAGAGACTGAGCATGGAATCAGGGGACAGAGACTCCTACCAAGCTGGCTCTCTCTCGCAGTGGGGTCTTCTGGGAGGGGCACTGGGCAGAACTCACAGGGCCCTGATGTGCGCATGGTGTCAGCTGGCAGTGCCCCGGCTGTGTTGCTGCTGCTGTTGGCTGCCTGGATTGCAGTATTGAGGTCTCGCGTCCACTTGTCCTTCTCCAGCCGCGTGCTGTAGAAAGAAGAGCTAGGCTGCTCTCCTGGGCCTCGGGGTCAGGCCTGTGAGGACAAGGCACCCTCCCAGCAGCAGGGTGAACAGTGCAGGAAGGTCCAGGCAGGACCCTGCAGGGCTCACCACGAAGCTGACACTGCTCGCCAGTGGGAGGGGCGGCCCGTTTGTCACCTAGGAGGCCCTCTTGGAAGTTCAGGTCAGCCGGGACCCCCATCCCTGAGAGATGTCTGCACCCTTGGGTTGCACACATAAAAGGGGGCGGGGTGTCCTGGCCATCAAACAGATGGGCCTCGGGATCCTCCACTCATGCCCAGGGAGTGCTGGAAGTGGAGACAGGGTGGGGGCTCACCTGGCTGCCAGCACCAGGGTCTTCTGAGCTGCATAGATGGTGAAACAGTGTGGGCCACCCTCACCTTGAGCCTCCTCCACCTGCAAATAGGAGCCAAGGCTGACTTGTCTGGGAACAGGCAGGAACCAGCAGGCAACACAGCAATGCTAGGGGACTGGGCAACATCAGGGGACATGGCATTGCTGGGGCATTGCTAGGGCACATGGGATCAACAGGGGACAACAATTACTAGGGAACACGGAATTGCCAGGCAACACGACATTGCTAGATTCAGTGCTTGGAAGTCCTGTCCAAGTCTGAATGTGGCCAGGAGGGATCCGGTTGTCCCCAGGCATGACAGCTGCCACCCGGGGGGGTGGGACTGTGAGCCAGAGAGCACCTGCTACTCACCGGTGGGTCCAGCACTATCAGCTGAAAATAAGCAAAAGGAGAGAGACTGAGCATCTTTGTGGTCGGGGAGGGAGGTGGCCGGTTTGTGTATAAACTAAGCATTAACGGCCTCATGGATCCCAGTCGGCAGTGAGTTCACAGTGATGTCAGCCTGAGGCTTCAAAGGAGCTGCTGGCTGATGGGACTAGTCCTGCCACAGCCTGAGAACAAGGAGCTGGCACCACCATGCCCTTTCTGTCAGGTGCAGATATGGCTTCCTGCCAGCTGCTGAAGCTCAAGTTGGGCAAGGACACCCAAGCAACGTGGGTGATGGCCAGCAAGACCATGTCTGGGGTCACCATTCCCTAAACTATGTGAATATGATGCAGTTTCCTGAGTCAGCTCCTGGTGGTGTTTCCAGAAGGGTCTGCTCAAATGTTGAGGGTCACAGCAGGGAGGGCAGATGGCGATGGGGTACATGTTCTCATGGAGAGCTTGACAGGATGGCCACAGTGAGAAGGGGGACAAGATGTAACGTTTCTGCATCTATGAAAACGGTCCAGGCAGGCAGCTTGAGTGAAAATGAACTGTTAATGAAGTACCACTCTGGTCTGTGCTTGGAGACTGGCAAGTCCACAGGACAGAAGCCTGAAGGAAAAGGTGGACCTGGGCTGAGCAGCCTCGGACTGCAAGGTCCCACGTGGGCTCCTTGCTCTGCCCGGCTCCCAGCATCGTGATGGAGTACACCCTTAAAATAGTGACTGCTCGAGTGTCACTTGTGAGACACCCAGTCTCTGGATCTCAGACCTAGCTGTCATAGTATTCAGGGACTGAGCCCACTGGTGGATGACTATCTTGCTTCTCAACTACTCTGTCACTGAAATAAATCTACGCGTGTCTGCCAGTCCCCTGCTGCGTATTCTAGAATACTGGAACACACAGCCCATCAACATGGAGCCTGAACTCCACCAGACAAAACCAAACACAAATGGGAAAGAGGGAGCAGTGCTTGTGACCCACAAGAGCTGGCTAGAGTCTGCCCTCCCTGCAGACAGGCAGGTGACCCTGAGTGGAAAGGCTCTGTGCACGCAGCACCCGTCCAACAGCCTCTTCTGACGTGTACAGTGTCAGACTGCGTCCTGGGCTAGAATCTGCCTTCAGGGCTGAAGGCTGGAGAAAGAGGCCCACAGTCTGCTAACCTGTATGGAAAAACAAGATGCATCTGTGACAGGAGCCAGGCCCAGCTCCCTGTGCACTGCTTGTCCCTGCAGCCCAAGAGAAGAGGAGTTGAAGTGTGGGACAAACATTTGGCCTGTTGACCGCTTTGCTGTTACCCAAAAAGCACTGACCACAACAAGGGCCAACTGCAGGACCACATGGAAGCGAGGGGTTCTCTGTCCTCGGAATACACCTGGAAGCACCAACGCTTAGTGGCGGTGCCATCCAGGAGTGTATCCCGTGAGACTCAGGTGTGAGCGTTTCAGCACAGTGCACGTGGGCCTGTGCATGTGCTGGAATTCTCCCACGTGAGAGCAGTACTGGGGGCAGCTGGCCTTGCCCTGTCTGGAAGAGTGTTTTAGGCACCAAGAGCAGAGGCCAGGGAAAAATGAGAGAAGCCAGAAGATGGGCTCACACCGCAGCTACTGGTCACTGTGTGATGCAAGGAGGCCGGGCCAGGCCCAGACTCCCAGCAAGGAAGCCCAGCATCACTCACCAGCATGCCGTGGAGTGGGAGGAGGCTGCGTATCCGGAAGTGGCTGCTCCCTGGGACACCTTTGCTTGTGTATAGCAGCATATCTGAGAACTGAGTGGTGGGAAGCAAAGTGACAAAGTCTCAATTTCATAAACAACTCAGACAGTGGCGGTCACAGCTGGCTGGCTAGCCACAGTGTTGTGGCAGAAAGGACTACCCTCATGCATTTGGCCACGGTGGACCAGAAGTGAGCTGCAGCCAGCTCTTGGATCCAGCTGGTGTGGCTCAGAGCTGACCACACAGAGCCCAGGGAGAGGCTCTCCCCCATGTCTGCTCCTGTCTGCTGTGGGCAGGATGAGGAAGGGGGCTGGCTCCTGCTGTAGTCCTAGAATCTGCCTGGGTACTGTCTGTTACCACCTAGACCAAGGCTTCCGTGCTGGGCCAGAGGGCAGCTGGGGGCCCCTCGCCTGCAGCAGGGGACATGGCCTAGGTGCCCAAGAACCTACCAGAAAGAACATCCTCTGCTGTAGCCCCTTTCTTGTGAGCTTGTGTAGGCAGCCCTCACGGATGAACTCCTGAAAGAGACAAGGCCACTCAGTGGCCAGGGGGTGGCCCTGGCTCAGTTGTGCCAAGACTGAAATAAAAAGAACTGGTTCAAAATCCACTCAGACCTGCTCAGCCTGGGAACCACTCTGCTCCCACTGGCTTCACTTCTCTGAGCTCCCCCATTCTCAATATGTCCAAATAAGGTTGTCAGGCATCATTACATAGTTAGGCTTTGTGTGTGTGTGTGTGTGTGTGTGTGTAGACAGGAAGCAGCATGTTGATATGTGTGTATAAACAGGAAATGTGTGTGTAGACAGGAAATAGCATGTTAATGTGTATGTGTGCAGACAGGAAATGTGTGTGTAGAGAAGAAATAGCATGTTAATGTGAGTACATATAGACAGGAAATACACCAGTGACAGTCAAGCAGCAGGGAACTGCTGTAATGTATGTGACAGACTATATGAAAGGATGACAGAAACTGAGACACCCATGGGAGAAAACGTCTAGAACTGAACTTCACATCATGATCTGTTGGCTTTAAAGGAGAAATCTGAGAGGGGCCGGTTGAAGAGATCCTGTGTGTGTGTGAAAGGAGTTGGTATGTATGTGCAGACTACAGGTGGGTGTCTGAGACAGAGTGAGTTCATGTGCGATACAGAGATAGTGTATGAATCTGTCTTTCACCTTCTGGTTCACTCCCCAAATAGCTGCAACAGCCAGGGCTGGGTTAGGCCAAAGTCAGGAGCAGTTGGGCCATTTGCAGCTGCCTCCCAGGCACATTAAGAGGAAGCTGCTTCAGAACTGGTGCTCCAAATGGAATGCCAGTGTCCAGGCGGCTCACTCTACTGGGCTAGCCACAACACTGACACCTAAATAACACATCTAAAAAATGTGAACTTTGTGGTTTTATTTATTTATTTTGCTTAAGAAAATGACCAGGTTGCCTGGCTAAATCCTCACTTTGAAAGTGTGGGGGTCCCATGTGGATGCCAATTCATGTCCCAGCTGCTCCACTTCGAGTCCAGATCCCAGCTTATGGCCTGGGAAGGCAGTAGAGGACGGCCCAAAGGAGCATGATAACCTAGAAGAAGCTCCTGGCTTCAGACTGGCTCAGTTCTGGCCATTTGGGAAGTGAAACAGTGGATGAAAGATCTCTCTCTGTTTCTCCTTAAATCTGATCTGCCTCCCCAATAAAAATAAGGACAAAAGAAGAGAAAGGAAATTGGGGGCCTGGCACCATGACCTAGTAGTTAAAGTCCTTGCTTTGAGTGTTCCAGGATCCCAAACGGGCGCCAGTTCTAATCCTAGCAGCTCGCTTCCCATCCAGCTTCCTACCTGTGGCCTGGGAAAGCAGTGGAGGATGGCCCAAAGACTTGGGACCCTGGACCCGTGTGGGAGACCTGGAAGAATCTCCAGGCTCCTGGCTTTGGATTGGCTCAGCTCCAGCCGTTGCGGCTGCTTGGAGAGTGAACCATCTGACAGAAGATCTTCCTCTCTGTCTCTCCTCCTCTCTGTATATCTGCCTTTCCAATCAAAATAAATAAATCTTAAAAAAAAAAATTGGCGGGCCCGGCGCAGTGGCGCAAGTGGTTAAAGGTCCTCGCCTTGCACGCCCGGGATCCCATATGGGCGCCGGTTCTAATCCCGGCAGCCCCGCTTCCCTTCCAGCTCCCTGCCTGTGGCCCGGGAAAGCAGTCGAGGACGGCCCAAAGCTTTGGGAACCTGCACCCGCGTGGGAGACCCTGAAGAGGCTCCTGGCTTCGGATCGGCATAGTATCGGCCCGTTGCGCTCACTTGGGGAGTGAATCATCGGACGGAAGATCTTCCTCTCTGTCTCTCCTCTCTGTATATCCGCCTTTCCAATGAAAAAATAATAAAAATAAATCTTTAAAAAAAAAAATTGGCCACCAGGTCAAAATATTTTTCTGGGAGCAATGCAATGACTCAGTTAGCAAATCCTCCACCTGCAAGCACTGGCATCCCATATGGGTGCCAATTCATGTTCTGGCTGCTCCATTTCCGATCCAGCTCCCTGTTTATGGCCTGGGACGGCACTAGAGGATGGGCCAAAACCTTGGGACATTTGCACCCACGTTGAAAACCCCAAAGGGGAGCCTGGCTTCAGAATGGCTTAGCTCTAGCTATTGCGGCCATTTGGGGAATGAACCAGTTGATGGAAAATCTTTCTTTGTCTCTGCTTGCCCCTGTAAATCTTCTTTCCCACAAAACGTAAATTTCTAAGAGCAAAACACTTTGCCAAAGCAAAGTCACTCACCCTGCCGGGCGCAGCAAGGTTGTCTATGCCGATCAGGACCCGCTGCAGCTCTGCCAGCTTCTGGGAGTTCTCAAGGCGGGTGAGGTTATGCTGCAGTGCAGTGGTCACCTCAGAGACGGCCTGCAGAGCACCTGCACAGAGAGCCCACCCACTGCCTGCAGTGATTCTCTGCTGGGATTGGTGCCTGAAGCTTCTTGACGAGGTGGTTGTCTCTCAGTGCAGAACAAGTGTGGCCTTGGGAGTCCGGGCCACATGGCATCCTCAGTGGACCCTCAGGGGCCACACCATGACAGAGGACTCCTGCTCTAAAGGACGCTGACCAGCAAGGTGGCCGACAGGGGGCGCTGTCTGCCTCATAGCATGCTCATCTGGGGAGCCAGGGAAGGCTGAGCACTGACCCTCACCCAATGATGGACTCAGTGACATTCACTCTGGCAGTTCCGTGCCATCTGGAGGCTCTTGCCTGGCTGTCCATCAGGACCACCATAGTGTTGGAGTTCCTCCTGCAAGCCCATGGTGTGCACAGCCTTGCTCGGTGCCTGGATGGTCTCCCAGCACAGCCTCGCTAGAGCTGGCCCTTGGGGCAGCTGCTGTTTTCGACATGCCCTTGGAACAGCCCAAGCCATTGGAGCAGGTGTGTGGTATGACCAGGGCACACATGCTGCCCTGGGGAAGCCCCCTCAAGATGAAACTGTATGGCCCTGTTCTGTGGCCCCCTCCTTTGTCCAGCTCACACCTGAAGCTGCCAGGGAGACTGGGGCTTGGTAAGCTCTCACACTGCAGCCTGATAGTGTCAGCAGGGCACTCACTGCTGGGCGCCGTCGAGACGTAAGTCATGAACAACACAGAATGTGTGTGAGCAAAGCCTCCGCCCCTCTTGCATCAACTGGTGAGATGGGGCTGACAAGGAGCCTGACAGGTTGTGAGGCACAGGGATCCCTCAGATGCTCCGTGTGCCCAGGGGCAAGGCAGGCTGGGCTCTGGCCTGCATAACCTTTTGGGCTGCCCTTTCCTGCCATCTTTCCAGTAGCATTGTGCTTTAGGGGTTGGTATTGTGGTGCAGCAGTTTAAGCTGCCACCTCATTGCTGGCATCCCATATGAGCATCAGTTCAAGTCCTGGCTGCTCCACTTCTGATCCTGCTCCCTGATACTGTACTCAGGAAAGCAGAAGACGGCCCAAATGTTGGACTCCTGGCACCCACAAGCACTCCAATGGTGTTCCAGGCTCCTGGCTTCAGACTGGCCATTTGGGGAATGAACCAGTAAAGGACGATCCCTTTCTCTGTATCTCAACTCAGTAAATACATCTTTAAAAAGTGTCAGAGAGAAGAAGAGGAAGAGATCTTCTGTCTGCTGGCTAACCTCACAGATGGCTGCAATCTGTGAGGCCAGGGCCAAGGCGAAGCAGGAACTGGGAGCTCTAGTCTCAGCTATCCACATGGGAGTCATAGTCCATTTCTTGCTGCCTCTCAGGCACGTTGGCAGGCAGACAGACTGGAAGTGGAACAGCTGGAATGGGTAATCCTGTATGGGATGTAGCATTGCAGGCAGTAGCAGTCTAACCCATGGCACCACAGCACCAACGCCAACATACAAGAAAACGGCTGACACCATGAGAGCCCCTGTGCTTCTTGCACCTGTGGGTATCTGTGAGAAGTGCTGGGGGTGTTCACTTGAAACCTTTAATGCAGGCTCCTTGACTGGGCTAGCATGGCCCAGGCTCTGCTGTGCTTCAGAGCCAAGCCCTCCAGGACACAAAGGCCAAGGCAGCAGGTCATAGTGAGAATGGCAGCTCTCAAATGCACTTGTAGGGGACCCAGGCAGCACGCCACCTATTGTGACCCCTGTGGGAGGTTATATCTTCCTGTGCCTTCAGATCTGTAGCTGAGAAGGGCCTTGCCCTCACATGGTGGAAAGGACAGGTTCCACTCTGTTGTGGCCTGGGACCTGCTTTCCATGGCCACTGATCAGTACACTGTCAAGGTAACAGATCCATGTTGTACTCACCATGGCAGTCAGCGTAGTCATGATGCCCAGGTGGGTAGTGCTCACACAGCCGGCTCAGCAGCAGACGCAGGTGCACCAGCCGCTGGCTAGGCTTCAGCAGGAATGCGTTGAGAGGCAGGTAGCAGACTTTCTGGAGCTCAAACTCCTTGTAAACTGCCTCCAGCTTCTTAGAGCACTGGGTGGCCTTTTCCAGTTCCGTCAGGACCTCATCATGCTTTTGGAAGTAGCTGATAAACTCCTGTGGTCGCACCAAAAGAAGGTTTAGGTGAGATGTGACAGAGGTGGTCCCAGGGACAGAATGTCCCATCTGCAGACCCCAGCAGAGCCCAATGGCCATCGGGCCTGGGAGGTGGAGGTGTCCTGCACCATGTGACCTCTACCCGACCTGTGGCTTCTTCCAGTGTCAGCCACCACCATGCTCTTCATGGACCCATCTGCTGCTCACCTGGTTGAGTGGACCAGAGCTGGGAGGGGCCTCACATCTCAAAGGGACACAGTGAGGGAGTGCTAGGCCAGGGCAACAGACCACACTGAAGCCCAGCGGGGCTGTATTCTGGAGTGGGGCAGCAGTCTGTTGACCAGTCATGGACATGGTATGACCATGCCTACATTCATGTAACACATTAAGGATCGTGTGCATGTGAGATCTGAGAGTAAAGCCTATGTGTTAAACAAGTCCCGACCTCTATAAGGAGTGAGAACAGTGAAGATGCTGTGGGGCCTTGTGCCAAGGGGGACTGTTCTGGAGAGTATGGATGGCCCTGAGAGGCCCAGGTTCAGGAAAAGGTTGTACCTTCAAAGGGAACCCTTTTCTCCCCAACACGTGGTGAGGGTCCAACACCTGCTTATGAGGGAAACACTCCTGGCTCAGCAGGGAGCCTGTCCTTGGGGGAGCCTGTCTCGTGGAAGCCTATCTGGGAGAGCCTGTAGGGACATGGGGAGCCTGTCCAAAGGGAAGCTTGTCCAGGTGGCATTGTTTCTAGAGTGCACCTGTCGGCAGTGTTGGGGAAGCTTTCCTGAGGGGAAGCTGTCTGCAGGAGTTTGAGGGGAACTTGTTCACAGGGAACCTCTCTCAGGCAACCTGACTTCGGGTGTATAACACGTGTCTGGGGAGCTCCACCTGAGAGGAGTGGATTCAGAGCGGAACCTGTCTTGAAGGGAACCCGTTGCAGGAGTGTTGTCCTGAAGGCGATGGCTAGTTAGGAAAAGCTGTTCTGAGGAGCTGCAGAGGCAGAGTTGGCTCTAAAAACACTATTCTGTCAAATGCTTTTTTTTTTTGATCAAACACCTTACAGGAACTTCTGAGGGTGGCTGTTCCTCCTGTCGGGAGGAACACTGTGTGTGACCGGGGAGGGGCAGGCATTCCTAGGGGACTCACATGAACCTGTGTGGAAGTAAGTCTGCTCTCTAGATTGTCACCTTGTGTATTCATGCCAGTTCTGTTGCCACACAGACCTGTCCTACCTGTAACTGACGCATGTTCCTGAGCAAGATGTCCCCTAATCGCTGGTGAGCACCAAAGGGTCCTTCCCTGAGGAAATGAGAACAGAGGCTGCTGGGAACACCCTGGTTTGCCAATAGCATAACCAGCATCGACAAGGTACTCTGAGGTGGATGACCCCATATCATAACCTGAATTGAATTAAAACATTATTCCAAGTTTGGCATTTCCTAAAAATGGTGATAACCACAGGGCAGAACACGGCTTGGGAAGCCCGTGTCTTGTTTCCACGTATCTGTGACTGAGTCCCGTCTTGGCTCCCATCCAGCTTCCTGCCGATGCACCTGTGAGGCAGTGGATGATGGTCCAAGCACTTGGGTCCCTGCCACCAACGTGGAAGACCCAGACGCAGTCCCTGGTTCCTGACTTTGGCCTGGCCCAGACATGGCTATTGCAGGGACCGAGGGGATAAATCACTGGATGGAAGATGTTTGCCTGTCATTCTGCCTTTCAATGAAAAAGTTAAAGCAAGATGACAACATTAGACAAAAATAATTCACGCACTTTTAGCCTGCTGCTTTCCTTTTCTGGAACAAGACATACAGAGGTGAGTACAGATTCATACCTCTCCCACAGGGTTCAAATACACTGATGAATACTGGTTCCTGTGAATTCATTTGTTATTCTGGTTTATTTAAAAAGTTTCTAAATTTGAAAGACAGATTTATGGAGAGGAGGGAGAGGGAGAGAGGGAGAAAGAGAGAATCCTCCATCTGCTGGTTTATTCTCTACATGGCCATAATGACCAGAGCTGAGCTGACTCCAAGGCAGGAGCTTCCCCCAGGTCTGCCACGTGTGTGCTGACGGCTAAGGACTTGAGTCATCCTCTGCTGCTTTCACAGTCATAAGCAGGGAGCTGGATCCAAGCTGGAGCAGCTGGGATTTAAATTGGTATCCATAGGGATGCTGGCATCACAGATGGAAGCTTAGTCAGCTATACCACCTTGGGTGCCACTATGGCACTATGGCATCCAAGGTGCCAGCCCTGTTAGTATTTCTGAAGCTGGAAGGACCCCAGTGTCCGTGGTGTTACCAGAGTGCCAGGCGCTGCTCCACCTCCTGCAGGAAGGCCCTATGGAACTCGTAGACAGGGTCCATGTTGGAGAAGAGCAGGGTCATTAGGGTTGTGGGCACAGTCTTCTCCTTGGCCAAGGCGCTGCGGAACCACTGTGAGAAGACCCAGAGGTCACACTGCCCCTCAGGGCCTGTGATCAGTGGCACTGCCGAGGGGGATGGCTCAGTCAGCACCCTCAATCCCCAGGGGGATGGCTCAGTCAGCACCCTCAATCCCCAGGGGGATGGCTCAGTCAGCACCCTCAATCCCCAGGGGGATGGCTCAGTCAGCACCCTCAATCCCCAGGGGGGTGGCTCAGTCAGCACCCTCAATCCCCAGGGGGGTGGCTCAGTCAGCACCCTCAATCCCCAGGGGGGTGGCTCAGTCAACACCCTCAATCCCCAGGGGGATGGCTCAGTCAGCACCCTCAATCCCCAGGGGGATGGCTCAGTCAGTACCCTCAATCCCCAGGGGGGTGGCTCAGTCAGCACCCTCAATCCCCAGGGGGGTGGCTCAGTCAACACCCTCAATCCCCAGGGGGATGGCTCAGTCAGTACCAGTCATTCACCCTCCTCAATGACTGCTCAGTTTTGAAGTGTCACAGGGACACTGGATCTCAATGTTCTGACCTTAGGCTTAAAACACATTTAGAAGGTTTATGGAAGTATGTGTCATGAAAAACAAAACAACAAAAGAACAACTATACAAAGTATCCCTTAACTGCGGGATGCCCTCTGCTGTGTTGTCGGGACAGGGCCTGGGCCTGTGCTCATACCACAGTGATGACTTCAAGATCCTTGAGGTGAGTGCGCTCTGTGGCGAGCAGCTCCTTGGCTATGAAGTAGGTCTTGTCTTCTGGCAGGCGCTGGAAGAAGCAGAGTGGCTGTTAGCAGGCGGCTGAGGGGCACAGAGGGTACTGTGCTCAGTTGTCACCATCAGGGCTTATAGTAGAAGCAAGGACACAGAGCAGACCAGGACTACTTCCCTAGGTCCTGTGTTGTGTTCTATAGAGAGAAGAACTGTGGCCCAGAACCACTCCTGGCTCTGAGATGAAATCACTGTCCCAGTTCTGTGACAGACACTGTCAGCTGAGTGCACATTGAACCTGCTGAAGATGGCTGAAGCAGCCCATGTGACCACCCCTGCCACACACCAGGTGGTAGCTGAGCCTCCTGGGCATGTAGGGGTCTCTGCCCCCACCCCCTCCCTGCTCCAGGGTGCTACCCAAGGTTCACAAAGACAACACAACTCTTCCATGTCCTGGACTCCTTGATGGAGTTCCTGCTCTCTCCTGAGTAGCTCACGGTCATTCACTGAATCACAGCCTGTGTCCACTGAGCACACATCTGTGGGATACACTGACCCAGCGCCTGGGATGTTCTGGGTCCCTGCTTGTTCAAAGCGGAAGGCAGGAGAAGCTCCTGGTTGGCCCCTGCCCACCCTAGCATCCAGACTGGCTAAGGAAACTGCTCCCTCAGCTGTCTGGTCGGGGACTTGGGGTGGCCCTGGGGCAGGCAAGGAGATACCCACCTTGTGCTTTGGCTCCTCCTCATTGTCCAAGCCGGCTCCAGCGTTGCTAAGGGCAGGGCTCAGGAGAGGGGATGAGCCCTGCTCAGCAGAGCCCAGAGTCCCCTGAAATGTGGGGCTCAGGCCCAGCTGGCTCTTCTGGCTGGAGCGAGAAGGCAGAGGACTGTCCGTGGAAAGGCCTGGGAACAAATGGGGCAGGTAGGGTGCGAAGTGAGAATGTCGTCTCCCCCACCTCCCCTACCACCGTCCCCAGCCTCTGCAGCATGCGCTACCCAGTCCACAGCCCCAGGTTCCTTTTTGCTCTAGCCATATGTAACTGTGCCGAGCAACAGCAGGCATCACAGCAGAGCTCAGTTGATGAGGCTGCTCTTTGGTTCCTTCACTTTTAGTAGTGAGGGTGTTATTTTGATTTTAATATAGCAGGTTTTTTTCCTTCTTAAATCAATGCTTGCTTTTTAATAGACAGGCACAAATGATGAGAGATATTTCAATACACAACACATAATAAAGAAATGTCCTTAGGTTTTTATCTCTCCAAGATTGGCAATACAGTGCCAAATTTTCAAGACACCTTGATAATGGTCTTGGGAGAAATTTACCTGTAGTTCAAAAGCCTCCAGGACTAGCACACTCTGATGGTTCTAACTGCCTAATGCCTTAGCCCCTAAACTGACTAGTCACTTCGCAATGCTGGGAGAGAGCAATGCACCTGCACCTCGTCACCACACCCCATCTGCACAGAGGGACCCACGCCTCTTCACCACACCCCATCTGCACGGAGCAGGGCCTTCTCACATCCAAACTTGGCATATTGAACCCTAAACACATCCAGGTGAGCAGGTTCATGTACAGGCAGCTCCTGGCTCCTGAGCCCAGGCCAGGCAGCAGCATGGCACTCTGGGATGGGCAGGGAGGAGTCCTGATTGTCACACTGACAAATGATTCAGGCTGCGGTTGGTGTCACCACAGCAAAGTGCATCTCTGAAATCCTCACCAGAGACACTTCAGACATGCAGGAACACAAAGAGATTACATATGCCTTTATACACTCATTGAGTCTGCAAAACAACCTCAAAATCACCATTGCCTCCTATTCCACTCAGTGCCACATGGGCTTGTGCCCAGCCCTGCCCCTGGGGGTCAGGTACACGTAGCTAGGCACAGTCAGAATTAGAGAAAAATTCAACCCTTCACAGCTCTGTTGAAAGCAGCTCACCACAGCACCTCACAGGTCACCACAGCACCTCACAGGTCACCTGCTGGCCACCGGCTGTGTTTCTCAGCAGCAGCAGAGATGAAACTGGGTAAGCAGCATGGTGAACCTCACTGCCCTGCTGGGGCTGGCAGCGGTGCCAGCCATTGTGGGAGTGATGGCAACACCAAGTGAGCAGTGTACATCTTACTACACAGCCTTTTTATCAGCACCCCCAGGGAAGGGACCCCCTAACAACACAGCCTCTGTCCCCACAGGAAGGGACCCCCTAACAACACGACCTCATTCCCCCACAGGAAAGGCTCCCCCAATCACACACCCTCAGCCCCCACAGGAAGGGACCCCCTAACAACACAGCCTCTGTCCCCACAGGAAGGGACCCCGTAACAACACGCCCTCATTCCCCCACAGGAAAGGCTCTCCCAATCACACACCCTCAGCCCCCACAGGAAGGGACCCTTAATTACACAGCCTCAGTCCCCACAGGAAGGGACCCCCTAACAACATGGACTCAGCCATCAGGGAAGGGACCCCCTAACAACACAGCCTCAGTCCCCACAGGAAAGGCTCCCCTGATCACTCACTCTCAGCCCTCACAAGAAGCGACCTTCCTGCCTGCATAAAAACTGAATGTAATGATCGGAGTAAAAAATACCCAGATTTGCCACAAATGTCTCACTTAAATCTGTCAGAGAGAACCCTGCACGACACACCCACTTCACACAGGGTAGGCATCTAGCTCAGCTGTTCAGACTCCCGTGTTCCACACTTGAGTGCCTGGGTTTGTGTCCGAGTTCCTGCTCCTGACCCCAGCTCCCAGCTAATGCAAACCCAAGTGGGCAGCTGGTGATGGCTCACGTGTGGACCCTGCTGCCCAAGTGGGAGATGCAAGCTGTGTCCTAGTTCCTGGCTTTGGCCTGGCTCATCCTGGCTGTTGCAGGCGTTTGGAAAGTAAGCCAGCAGATGGCAATTCTGTCTCCTCAATACAATTATGCAAACACAGATGTTACTGTAGGGAGAAAGTGTGTCACTGTTCTGGATGGAGGCTGCTGGCCAGGTCCATGGCACGGCTGATGAATGGGAGGCCACTGGCCAGGCCCACGGCACGGCTGATGGACGGGAGACCTGGGCAGGCCTTGATCCCTGCCCTGAGTCCTCAGCACAGTGCTCCAAGCAGGGAGACAGTGAGCTGTGGGGGCTCTCTGGTCAATGAAGTTGATGCATCCTCGGGGTCCCCTGCCTGGATCATCTTTGACCCTGAGATCATACCTGGTAACATATGGCCACAAGGCACATACCTGAAGAATTCTACGAATGCCTGAGAAGCCCAGCCCCTGCCACACCCCAGGTAAGATCCCTCAGGCTGGATGGGCAGGGCCAGAATCCCAGAATCCAGCTGGAGAGGCTGGGAGCCACACCCACTGGGTCCGCACAGAGCAGGCCTCCTAGGGAAGGGCAGCCTGGGAGAAGCGCTCTGGGGCTGACATTCTCTAGAGTCCCTGGAGAGCCAATGCTCTCCTTTCTCCCACGAACGTGGCCCTCCTGGCAGCTTCTTGATTTAGCTTTGACACTGGCAGCATCCATTCCATTGTTTCTGAACCACACCTTTAAAATCGATGCTCGCATGCTTGCCTTCAGTTTTTTCTCTGAAGCACAAAAGACGGCAAAAGACAAATGAAATGTTTGGAAAATGCAAACTTGATTTTATTTCACATCTCTCAATTCTAGTGGTCCTTGTCAACAGCTGCCTGGGCTGGTATTGTAGTGCAGTGCGGTAAGTTGCACTTTGCGATGCTGGAGTCTTGGAGTGCTAGTTCAAGTCCTTGGCTGCTTTGCTTGAGCTCCAGCTTGCTACTAACATACCTGGGACGGCAGCAGGTGCTCTATGTGGGGACCTGGATGGAGCATCTGCTTTTTGGCTGCAGCCTGTTGCTATGGCCATCTGGGGAAGGGATCAGTGGAAGGAAGGTCTCTCCCCATTCCCAGCCCCCTCATGCTCTGCCTTTAGAATAAATAACTAAAAAGCTTGCCCTGGTGGAAGAAGAATCAGCTTCTGCCTGGGAAAGTCCAGGGGAGGCTAAAGCTGACTTGAGCTAGAGTGGCAAGAAACAGAAGTTCTGGCCGCAGTGATGGATTATTAAGCCCAGGAGAGAAGGAAGAACCCAGATTGTCCAAGCCAGGCAGATGAGTCAGCAGTTTGCTTTATGGCTTCACTACTGAAATGGGATTTCACAGGAACTTTCATGCAAAATCCAGCTCAAAACCAGAAGTAGAGCAGGGGATACTTGGTGTGGTGGGTAAGATGCCCACACCCCACATCCAATACTCGGCTCCAGTCTGGCTCCAGTGCCCGACTCCAGCTTCCTGCTGACGCTCATCAAGGAGGCAGTGCTGACACTCACTCGTGTGGGAGGCATGCGGGGTTTCTGGCTCCTGACTTCAGCCTGAGCCGTTGTAAACACTTGAGGAATCAACCAAAGGATGAATGCTCTGTCTCCCCGAAAAAAAAAAGAAAAAGTAGGTGGCAGTGGGGGAGGGATAGAAGCCTGCATAAGTGTATCTCTCATGGTGTGTGGAATGCTCACTTCGCATGGCAGGACTGGAGGCAAGAACGATGAGCTGGCCCAGAGCCCTCTGTGTGCAGAGGTGAGCTGTGCCGGGCAGGGAGCCGGAGGAGAGCTGTAGGGGTGTTCCCGAGGAGTACTGCTGCTCCCGCTCTTGTGAATAATCCAGACCTTGTTCTTATTAGGAATAGGCACACCAGCTGAGGCATGAGCCTCGGACCGGCGTCTGGCTCCTCTGGGTAGGAGCCCCTGGACAGCTGAGAGTCTGGACTCTGAGACACCTGTGATTAACTGGGGCGAGATCCCAGAAACCAAGAGCAGTCTGTGGGAGGAGGTCCCCAGACAAACCACGAGAGCCGACAGTTCACACACACACGGCCACCTCCTCTTCCTCACGTCAACACACAGGTGTGAGGAGAGCTGACAGTTCACACACACACACACGCGCACGCGCACACACACACACACACACACACACACACGGCTGCCGCCTCCTCACATCAGCCTCAGCTCATAAGAATGAGGAGAGCAAGAACTGACATGTTTCTTTCTCTCTCTCAATTTCTCTCTCTACACACACACACACACACACACACACACACGGCCACCTCCTCTTCCTCACGTCAACACACAGGTGTGAGGAGGAGAGCCGACAGTTCACACACACACGGCCACCTCCTCTTCCTCACGTCAACACACAGGTGTGAGGAGAGCTGACAGTTCACACACGCGCACGCGCACACACACACACACACACACACACACACACACACACACACGGCTGCCGCCTCCTCACATCAGCTCATAAGGATGAGGAGAGCAAGAGCTGACATGTTTCTTTCTCTCTCTCAATTTCTCTCTCTACACACACACACACACACACACACACACACACAGCCTCCTCCTCTTCCTTAAATCAGCACACAATGAGGAGAGAAATGTTCCCAGAGCTTTTTGAGGTAAAGGTTGAACCACTTACGTCCAACACTTGTGTGAGCCGTAGGTTCCAGGAGATGGGCGAGAGATCCCATCTCTGCGCCCTTGGTCGTGTGCGTGGTGGTCACAGGTGCTGCATGCCAAATGGGCCTGCTGCCAACGGTCTCATCAGCCACTCCCCAGGAATCACTGGCTACTCACACACAGGGTGCCAGGGGCTCTGAAGTTCCAGGGGCCACCCACTGCTCTCCCAGAAGGACATGGTTCCTGTGCCTAGAGAAGAAGGTGGGAAGTGTTTTTCACACTGGTGGACAGCCCCACGCAGGCATCAGGAAACCTTCTTGGTCAAGCTGACAGCTGCATTTTCAAGCTACAGTAAAGACCTATCCAGAATCTGAGTGACCCCTACACTTAGGTGCGGCAAGGGCCCCCACTGCCCAGGTACTGCCCTTTGCCTGCATAGAACCAGGAAGCCAGCAGCAACACAGGGAACAATCTGCACCCTGGCTCCCTGCTCCCCACAGACTGTGGCTGCGAGGGCAGAAGGCTCTGGAACACAGCTAGGACTGACCCCATGTCTGAACCAACCAGCGAGTATCACGGCCTCTGCTGCCAGGAGCCTGGATGAGTAAGATGCCCATGAAGACAGAGGAGCCCAACAGAGTCCCCCAAGGCAGGGTGAAGCGGGCAGATGGTCTCCAACAGAAGACCCAAGTGCTGGAGCATGCATAGGGAAAAGCTAAAAAGCTTGTGTGAAACTGATGGCAAGTATTTCCTTATTTTATTGAATAAACAAAAATTCTAGATTAGTACAAAATTGCAAATTTACAAATGGCGATATCAGTGGAAAACAATCATAGTACCACAAACTACACAAGAAGGCTCCTTTAGAGAATCAGTAAATCCAAATGTATAGGGTACTCCCAGCCCACTTTCTCCTGCCTTCCTAGCACAGTGTGGTCTAGTGCCAGACAGGGTCCTGTAGGCGAGGTGGCCACATGATGGGGGAGAGACCCCACAGTGCCCGTGTGTACCCCAGACATGTGAGAGTAGCGCTGCGTATGTGGTAGTCAGATGTCCATGGGTGTGAGAGGAACATGAGTACACTCAGAGCCACATCCTGGAAGGGCACAGAACCCTCACAATGCATGGTAAAACTGGCACCAAAGGGCATGCAACAGCTGGGGCACATGTGATGTGACATGTTGTGACCAACAGTAGGTGTGTGGCAGCACCACTGCTCCTGGTGGCTACGGGACAACATGGGAGTTTGCACTTTTTTTTTTTTTTTAAGAAAACTGTTTATTTGAGAGGCAAAGTTAGTAAGAAAAGTGGGGAGAGAGGGGAAAGCTCTCACTCACTGGTTCAATCCCTGAATGGCCACAACAGCTGGGGTTGGGCCAGGACAAGGCCAGGTTTCCCACATGGGTGCAGGGACCCAAGTACTCAGGCCATCCTCTGCTGCTTTCCCAGGTGCATTAGCAGGGGGCTGGAGGGGAAGTGGAGCAGCTGGGACTTGACCCCACACCCAGTGGGCATGGCAGGTGCTGCCAAAAACCACTGTGCACAAGGCTGGTCCTGGAGCACCCGCTCTAGCTGTGCTATGACAGTTTTAAGGCTTTTTGGTGCCCACTGCTTGATGATTAGTGGTAAGTAAACCACATGTGCTAGCTGGATCAGACATGCCTAGCATAACCTGACACAGCACACTACGGTTTGTTCTAGCACACAAGGTTAGTGCAGTTGATTTTGTTAACACATTCAGAAACACTGCGATAAAGGCCAGGGGTTTGGGAAGACATGAGAATGGCCTGGGTGTCCACTACAATAAGACAGGCTACCCCGAGCAGGGTGGTCACTCGTGGTGGACGTCACGGGTCCAACAGGTGCAGCCTGCTGCAGGACCACATCACCCATGTGCATGCGTGCCTGTGCCATGTGTGTTACGGTGGCTGCAGGCAGAGCCCAGGAGTTGTGAACTTGAAGGTTCCAACTCCAGGTATGTTACTGGATCCAAAAGCCAACCCACACTCTCAGGTGACATGTTAGCCCACACACCCTTGGGAGGCGGACTACACAGAGCAGGGACCCAGACCAGTCTGCAGCTCTGTGGCATCTGGGTGTGCCAGGAAGCCCTGCCATGCAGGCACCTGGCCTTCAGGTCAGCGGCCTTGGCTCAGACCAGGTGCTGAGAGCAGATGGGCTCATGGCCAGGAGTGCTGCCCCTGGGCTGTCCATCCTCTCACACTGGCTCACAGAAGCTCTCGCGTAGGGACAGGGCATAGCATGAGTCGTTATCTGGTTAAGAATAAGCTCTAGCAAATGCTGTGGGGAGCAGCCGCAAAGTTCACGGCTGCCGCAGCGAGCACTTAGGCCAACGCCTGCTGGAGGTGGCAGGGTCCGAGCCACTCACATGGCAGCCTTGGGCTAAGCTCCTGGCTCCTGGCTCTGTTTACCCACTCCAGGTGTTGTGAACATCTGGGCAGCGAACCAGCGGATTCTCTGTTTCTCAAACAACTGCAACAGGAATAATTATACTGTGCTCCAAATGTCTCCAGGATGGGCCACAATCTTAACCCTTCATACCCTCACCAGTGCCGAGTGGAGATGGGGGATGTCAGGGTCTGTGTGGGTGGCTCTGCCCCATGTAAGAGTTGAAACATGGGCTTGGGTCGGGGGGCACCCAGGCGAGGGCCCTAGAACCTGGGCAGCTGCGCCCTAGCTCTGGCCACAGGTCCCAGGCACGGAGGGGAGCAGGCAGCACGGAGGCTCTGTCTGAGCAGATTTCTGGCATGTGATGGCACTGTAGCGTTGAGCCTGCTGACCACATCTGTGGGTTCCGTGTCTCCCAGACCTCAGGGCTCTCAAGAGCAGGTCAGTGGGCCAGCAGAACCCAAACCCCAGAGACAATGGAGAGGGCAAACGGTGTGGGTGGCGAACTCTCTGAGCAACCAGCTAACATGTCACTTCCATGACAGAAACCCAAAACAGAGCCTTCCCCACAGGTTACTGGGGCCCATGATTCCCACAAAACATGCTGGCCACACAGAGGCATAAGCCCCTTTCATGGAGAAGTCTTCAAAAGCACTGGTTGTTAACCCCAGCCTGACACAAACTCACGCTGGAGTTACCATCAAGCTCCTCCACCACAGACGTACGGCAGCTGCTGGGGGCCATGGGGCTCAGGGTTATGGGGGAGCAGGTGTGACTGAGCCACTGCAAGACAAGCCACCAGATGGCCGGGGAGGGTGAGTGGACAGGCATGCAGTATGGTTAATTCCAGCATCCTGTGGAGCCCAGCCGTCATGTGGGAGGACTACAGCCCTGCCAGCTCATGGTCACTGGGGCACATGGCCTGTGCAGGCCCCAACCAACCTGCAGCAGAGATCAGGACGGCTTCCCGTGAGTGCAGATGCATGCCTCTGCAGGCGCCATCACTCCAGCTGGGCACATCAGATCCCAGCCGCAGGTGCTAGGCTGCAGGGCAGTGCTCCCCTACTGGCCCCTGTGCCATAAGCACCACAGTGCACTGACACAGCCGGTGGGGTCACACCTGCCCGTCTGCCCACGTGACCTCCCACCACCTGAGACTGAGCCATCTCATGGTGACCACAGGTGGATGCACTATTCCTAGCTCTTGCACACCAGGGGATTCTGTGAACTGACAGCTGTGTCCTGCACAACACCTCCAGGACCAGTGTCTGCCCAGTTCAGCGCCACTCCACGCCTGCTACCCCACGGCCATCTCTGGGCCTCCAGCAGACACGGCACATAGTGGCCAGCAGATCGGGCAACACAGCCACCTGACAGCAATGGCAGGCATAGCACACGTCCACCAGAGATCAACCATGACATTGAAAACGAACAGCACCAGTGTCCATGTGGACCAAAGCACATTCAACACGAAACAAAAATAAACAACCCACAGCAGCCACAGACGAGCCATGCTCATCCCTGGTCAGATGCTCAGGAAAGTCCAAGGAACCAGGGGTCAGAGGGAAATGGAGCATCTACTGTGCATGCTCAGGCCATGCTCCAGGCCCAGCCCTGACACCTGGGGAAGCACGGGGTCAGGATGACTGTCTGTCTGTCTGCTCTGCTACAGTCAAGTTCCTCGACTTGCTCTGAAAATCAGGAGAGACTGGAGTGCCCCCTGTGCATGTGAAAGGGTTGCTGAAGAACAGGCTCACATCCAGGGGGTCCTCGGCCCCTGAGTCCCAGGAGTCGGTGTCCGTGCCACTGGAGCCCTCGGCTGTGGTCGGGGCACAGCTGAGCTGCTCTAACTGGTCGATGATGTCAGACAAATGCAAGGCCGAGCTGGACTCGGAGCGCACTGAGCAGGCTGGGAAGTTGACCATGGAGCTGGCCTCGGACTGAGTGGTGGAACTGGCTGTGTGCAGGGATAGCCCCCCGCGCAGCGGCACGTGACTCAGGGAGCTGGCCTCGGACTGGCTGTCCCTCAGTGAGCTTGACCCAGAGGGGCCCAGCAGCCTCTGCAGCAGGCTGGCCTGGGCCTTCACCTCCAGTAGCTCTGAGGTGACCCCAAAGTCACTCTCATCCTCCGAGTTGAAGCGGTCATCTACATTCATGTCCACTGCCTCGGTAGAGCACCTGTCTGGACTGGACTGGGCTGACTCCGGGAGCTGGAGGGCCTCGGGACCACATGGAGGAGGGGATGCAGCAGTCAGGGGGCCACAGGGGACAGAAAATGCCTCCATGCCTCCCGCGAAGAATGAGATGTCTGCCGGGTCGTCGTCTATGAACTCCTCAGACACCTGCAGCGTGCTGCACGACCGGCCCCGCCGGGGTCCCCCAGCTGAGAGGTACAAACCCGTGACTCCTGACACCCCGCCAGCCCACCCTGCGTCAAGCCTCTGCCCTGTGGCACAGCTGTTAACAACGCGACAAAACCCAACACCTGGACCAGGCTGTGGTACATCCGGGCTGTGTTCCGCTGCTCCATTGCTGTGAGGAGCCTGGGCATCCAGGAGCTCAGGCCGGCCAGGAGGTGGGCTGGGGGAGGCTGGGAGCCGGCTAAAGGAGGTGCCTGCTGGAGTCTGCAAGGCCTCGGTCAAGGAGATGCTCTGGGGACACAGTGAAGAGAAGAAAACGCCAAGTCATGGGCGCCCCCAGCACCACATGCCTCTCAGCTAGCAGTCTCCCACAAGAGGAGCAAACACTTCAGGGGTTGGTGTGGGAATCAGCCCAATAGCCAGCCTGACCTCGCTGCTCAGGGTCACTGCTGCAGCAGTCAGAAAGAGGGGGAGGAGACCAGGGAGAGGGGTGGGCCCTCAGGCAGCCTGGTCTGCACCCAGTGCCTGTCAGAATCCAGACCAGTCTCTGAGGCTGTGCTCCCTCCAGCATCCATGCTGATCTATGTCCCGCTCCTTCCAGCGTCCATCCTCCCTGTGCTAATCCTGAGCTAATCCTACCCTCCAAGGTCCATCCTCACAGGCCCCTGCTCCCTCCAGCATCCATGCTGACACACACCCCTGCTCCCTCTAGCGTCCACTGTCGTGCCGGCTCCCTCCAGCAGTCAGCCTAAGAATGCTGAGAGCTGATGGTACCTTCCAGAATATTCACACTCCAATGTCACATCAATTTCATGAGACAAGATCAGAAACACATCTTCTGATTCCAAGTGATCTAACAGGGAATTCCTAAACTCCTGTTTAGAAACAACTGGCAGAGTCATCAAAGCAACGCGGGACACATGAGTCTGAGGATGCCGCAGCCCTGCCAGCAACAGACCAGAACAGCTGGCATGCTGATGAGATAGACAGGGTCGGTACCATGGCCTAACGGGTTAAGCCTCGATCACCGGCAATGCTGGCATCCCACGTGGGTGTCTCATTTCTCACCCAGTGCCCTGCTAATGTGCCGGGGAAGGCAGGAGAAAATGGCCCAAGTGCTTGGGCTGCTGCATCCATGTGGGAAAGCTGGAGGAAGCTCCTGGCATCGACCTGGTCCAGCCCTAGCTATTGCATGTTTCTGGTGAATCAACCAGTGGATGGAAAGTCTCTGTCTCCCTCTCTAACTCTGGTTTTCAAGTAGACAAAATGCATTTTAAAATAAGAGAGATAAAAACTAAAATATGAATCTGGAACAGCAAGAAGCAGCAGTTAGGGCATGAACAGCTATGCTCCCAATGAGCAGGTGCTGACCCAGCAGTGAGGACACTGCATCACACGGAGGGGCACCTGGCTCCTGGCTCCAGCTTCATGTAGACTGGAGGTGGAGAGTGAGGGTCTGAGAGCTTTCATCCCAGGCACCACACGGGAAGACCCGAGTAACCTCTGCCTCCTTGGTTTTGGCCCAACCCTGGTCATTGTGGGCACAAAGGGAACAGAGGTGCAATGGTGGTGTGGAGCAGCATTCCTTCTTGGACATTATTCCTGGCAGCTTCCAGGTCCCTACAACTGCATGTGCTACAGTCCTGCCAAACACACTTCATGCTCGGCCTGAGAGCAAACCCCTGCCTAATGCACAGCCCTCACATCAAGCTCTGCTTTGGCATAAAGCAGAGTACAGGCCCAGTCCAGGGTGCAGGGTTAGCTCAAGGTTAGGACACTGTTAGCTCAGGGTTAGCTCAGGGTTAGCACAGGGTTAGCTCAGGGTTAGCATAGGGTTAGCTCAGGGTTAGCACAGGGTTAGCGCAGGGTTAGCACAGGGTTAGTACAGGGTTAGCACAGGGTTAGTGCAGGGTTAGCACAGGGTTAGCACAGGGTTAGCTCAGGGTTAGCACAGGGTTAGTACAGGGTTAGCACAGGGTTAGCTCAGGGTTAGTACAGGGTTAGCTCAGGGTTAGCACAGGGTTAGCTCAGGGTTAGCTCAGGGTTAGCACAGGGTTAGCTCAGGGTTAGCACAGGGTTAGCTCAGGGTTAGCACAGGGTTAGTACAGGGTTAGCACAGGGTTAGCTCAGGGTTAGCTCAGGGTTAGCACAGGGTTAGTGCAGGGTTAGCTCAGGGTTAGCACAGGATTAGTACAGGGTTAGCTCAGGGTTAGCTCAGTGTTAACACAGGGTTAGCTCAGGGTTAGTACAGGGTTAGCTAAGAGTTAGTGCAGGGTTAGATCAGTGTTAGCTCAGGGTTAGTGCAGGGTTAGTACAGGGTTAGCACAGAGTTAGCACAGGGTTAGCACAGGATTAGTACAGGGTTAGCTCAGGGTTAGCTCAGTGTTAACACAGGGTTAGCTCAGGGTTAGTACAGGGTTAGCTAAGAGTTAGTGCAGGGTTAGATCAGTGTTAGCTCAGGGTTAGTGCAGGGTTAGTACAGGGTTAGCACAGAGTTAGCACAGGGTTAGCACAGGATTAGCTCAGGGTTAGTACAGGGTTAGCTCAGTGTTAGCTCAGGGTTAGCTCAGGGTTAATACAGGGTTAGCTAAGAGTTAGTGCAGGGTTAGTTCAGGGTTAGCTCAGGGTTAGTGCAGGGTTAGCACAGGGTTAGCTCAGGGTTAGCTCAGGGTTAGTGCAGGGTTAGCTCAGGGTTAGCTCAGTGTTAACACAGGGTTAGTACAGGGTTAGCTAAGAGTTAGTGCAGGGTTAGCACAGGGTTAGCTCAGGGTTAGCTAAGAGTTATCACAGGGTTAGTTTAGGGTTAGCTCAGGGTTAGTGCAGGGTTAGCACAGGGTTAGCTCAGGGTTAGCTCAGGGTTATCACCGGGTTAGCTCAGTGTTAACACAGTGTTAGTACAGGGTTAGCTAAGAGTTAGTGCAGGGTTAGCACAGGGCTAGCATAGGGTTAGCTCAGGGTTAGCACAGGGTTAGTGCAGGGTTAGCTCAGGGTTAGCACAGGATTAGCTCAGGGTTAGTACAGGGTTAGCTCAATGTTAGCTCAGGGTTAGCACAGGGTTAGCTCATGGTTAACTAAGAGTTATCACAGGGTTAGTTCAGGGTTAGCTCAGGGTTAGTGCAGGGTTAGCACAGAGTTAGTTCAGGGCTAACAAAGGGTTAGCAAAGGGTTAGCTCATGGTTAGCACAGGGTTAGCAAAGGGTTAGTTCATAGTTAGTGCAGGGTTTGTTCAGGGTTAGCTCAGGGTTAGCACAGTGTTAGTGCAGGGTTAGTTCAGGGTTAGCTCAGGGTTAGTTCAGGATACAAGGTTAGCTCAGGGTTAGCACAGGGTTAACACAGTGTTAGTGCAGGTTTAGCTCAGGGTTAGCTCAGGGTGAGAGCAGGGTTAGTTCAGGGTTAGTTCAGGGTACAGGGTTAGCTCAGGGTTAGCGCAGGATTAGTAAAGGGTTAGTTCATAGTTAGTGCAGGGTACAGGGTTAGCTCAGGGTTAGCACAGTGTTAGTGCAGGGTTAGCTCAGGGTGAGAGCTGGGTTAGTTCAGGGTTAGCTCAGGATTAGTTCAGGGTACAGGGTTAGCACAGGGTTAGCTCAGGGTTAGTAAACGGTTAGTTCATAGTTAGTGCAGGGTACAGGGTTAGCTCAGGGTTAGCACAGTGTTCAGTGCAGGTTTAGCTCAGGGTGAGAGCAGGGTTAGTTCAGGGTTAGCTCAGGATTAGTTCAGGGTACAGGGTTAGCTCAGGGTTAGTAAAGGGTTAGTTCATAGTTAGTGCAAGGTACAGGGTTAGCTCAGGGTTAGTACAGTGTTAGTGCAGGGTTAGCTCAGGGTGAGAACAGGGTTAGTTCAGGGTTAGCTCAGGGTTAGCTCAGGGTTAGTGCAGGGTACTGGGTTAACTCTGGATTAGTACAGGGTTAGGGTTAGCTCTGGATTAGCGCAGGTGCAGCTCTCAAGATCACACAGCAGGACCTGGCGTGGTGGCCTAGCAGCTAGGGTCCTCGTTTTTTTCTTTTTTTTCTTTTTTAAGATTTATTTATTTTTATTACAAGGTCAGGTATACAGAGAGGAGGAGAGATAGAGGGGAAGATCTTCCATCCGATGATTCACTCCCCAAGTGAGTCCAACGGCCGGTGCTATGCCGATCTGAAACCAGGAGCCAGGAACCTCCTCCAGGTCTCCCACACGGGTGCAGGATCCCAAAGTATTGGTCCCTCCTCGACTGCTTTCCCAGGCCACAAACAGGGAGCTGGATGGGAAGTGGAGCTGCCGGGATTAGAACCGGCGCCCATATGGGATTCCGGCGCGTTCAAGGCGAGGACTTTAGCTGCTAGGCCATGCCGCCAGGCCCATAGGGTCCTCGTCTTGAACACTTCGCGATCCCATGTGGTCACCAGTTCTGAACCCAGTGGCTCCACTTCCCATCCAGCTCCCTACTTGTGGCCTGGAAGAGCGGTCGAGGACAGCCAAGGCATTGGGACCCTGTGCCCACGTGGGAGACCTTGAGGAGGTTCCTGGCTCCTGGCTTTGGATCGGCGCAGCACCGGCCGTTGTGGTCACTTGGGGAGTGAATCATTGGACAGAAGATCTTCCTCTCTGTCTCTGCTCTCTGTGTATCTTGCTTTGCAGTGAAGATAAATAAATCTTAAAAAAAAAAAAAAGTTCACCCAGCAGAGATTTGCTGTGCTGTAATCACCTATGCCCAAGTGGTCTTTCCTGGGCTCCATCCGGACTGACCCTAGAACTGGGACAGCTACATCAAGCAGTATAAGTCCTGTACAACACTGCCTGCGGACGCCCTTCCCGGGTACTCACCTGTCTCGGCAGGTCTGCAGTCAGAGCACGTACACACACATGCGGTGCACTGTGTTTCCTGTAAAACAGCAAGCGGTGAGTGGGCACACTGCCCTGATCCCTGCTGTGCGCCAGCTGGGACCCTGTACATCTGCCACACAGCAGGGCAACACAACCCAGACGGCCGCTTACACACCCACGGACACACAACACTGCCCACACAGACACACAACACCAATTTCAGTTCAAAGTTTACCCACAACAACAAGCCATCACTGTGAGCAACGCTAGGCGGCCTTGACACTGAGCATCTTGTGAGCCACGCTAGGCGGCCGTGACACTCTATACACGCCACGTAGATTTAAGTATTAGTTAACTGCGCGTGATTTCAATCTACTAGATGAGTAACACCTAGGCAGAGCAGCAGGGCTGAGCACAAGGTATTGCTACTCAGACATTTGTAAGATAAAAAAAGTACCCACAGAGAACAGACATAAGAAAACCTGCAAATACATGTTCTCTAAACCCAAATGTCAGAGCACTCATGTCTGTACCTGACCCCCAAATGTATGTGTGTTACTGACTCCCAAATGTATGTGTGCTCCTGACCCCAACACACATGTGATCTGACCCCAACCCCATGAGTGTATCTGACCCCCAGCCCCCATGAGTGTATCTGCCCCCTCCCCCAGCTCCCATGAGTGTATCTGCCCCCTCCCCCAGCCCCCATGAGTGTATCTGCCCCCCAGCCCCATGAGTGTATCTGCCCCCCAGCCCCATGAGTGTATCTGACCCCCAGCCCCCATGAGTGTATCTGCCCCCTCCCCCAGCCCCCATGAGTGTATCTGACCCCTCCCCCAGCCCCCATGAGTGTATCTGACCCCCAGCCCCATGAGTGTATCTGCCCTCCCCAGCCCCCATGAGTGTATCTGCCCCCAGCCCCATGAGTGCATCTGCCCCTCCCCAGCCCCATGAGTGTATCTGCCCCTCCCCAGCCCCCATGAGTGTATCTGCCCCCCAGCCCATGAGTGTATCTGCCCCCAGCCCATGAGTGTATCTGACCCCCAGCCCCCATGAGTGTATCTGCCCCCTCCCCCAGCCCCCATGAGTGTATCTGCCCCCTCCCCCAGCCCCCATGAGTGTATCTGCCCCTCCCCCAGCCCCCATGAGTGTATCTGACCCCTCCCCCAGCCCCCATGAGTGTATCTGACCCCTCCCCCAGCCCCCATGAGTGTATCTGCCCCTCCCCCAGCCCCCATGAGTGTATCTGCCCCCTCCCCCAGCCCCCATGAGTGTATCTGACCCCCAGCCCCCATGAGTGTATCTGCCCCTCCCCCAGCCCCCATGAGTGTATCTGCCCCCTCCCCCAGCCCCCATGAGTGTATCTGACCCCAGCCCCATGAGTGTATCTGACCCCTCCCCCAGCCCCCATGAGTGTATCTGCCCCTCCCCCAGCCCCCATGAGTGTATCTGCCCCCTCCCCCAGCCCCCATGAGTGTATCTGCCCCTCCCCCAGCCCCCATGAGTGTATCTGCCCCTCCCCCAGCCCCCATGAGTGTATCTGACCCCTCCCCCAGCCCCATGAGTGTATCTGACCCCTCCCCCAGCCCCCATGAGTGTATCTGCCCCCAGCCCCCATGAGTGTATCTGCCCCCAGCCCCCATGAGTGTATCTGCCCCCTCCCCCAGCCCCCATGAGTGTATCTGACCCCTCCCCCAGCCCCCATGAGTGTATCTGCCCCCTCCCCCAGCCCCCATGAGTGTATCTGCCCCCAGCCCCCATGAGTGTATCTGACCCCTCCCCCAGCCCCCATGAGTGTATCTGCCCCCTCCCCCAGCCCCCATGAGTGTATCTGCTCCCTCCCCCAGCCCCCATGAGTGTATCTGCCCCTCCCCCAGCCCCCATGAGTGTATCTGCCCCCTCCCCCAGCCCCCATGAGTGTATCTGCCCCCCAGCCCCCATGAGTGTATCTGCCCCCAGCCCCCATGAGTGTATCTGCCCCTCCCCAGCCCCCATGAGTGTATCTGCCCCCTCCCCAGCCCCCATGAGTGTATCTGCCCCTCCCCCAGCCCCATGAGTGTATCTGACCCCCAGCCCCCATGAGTGTATCTGACCCCCAGCCCCCATGAGTGTATCTGACCCCTCCCCCAGCCCCCATGAGTGTATCTGCCCCCCAGCCCCCATGAGTGTATCTGAGCCCTCTAACCCCAGGAAGGCTCAGCAACTCACCTGTCGTATGGTGTTCTCCTCACGCCCCCGTCTTTGATGTAATCCACCAGTTGCTTCTGAGTTCTACCACTGCACATAAAGATCCACATTTGTGAGAAAGCATCACTGGCAATACACAGCCTTTATCATTCAATATTTATTTACTTATTTGAAAGGCAGTTAGAGGCTCCACCCACTGCGCCACACCCCAAGGCTGGCAACAGGCTGGAGCCGGGAGCCTCATCAGGTCTTCCAGGCAGGTGGCAGGGGCTCAACTACTGGCACCATCATCTGCCGCCTCTCCAGGTGCGCCACGTTAGCGGGCCCGGAACGACACCCTCCAGTTGAGGCGTGAGCATCACTAGTGCTGCCAGCCCTGCCCCCACTGCGTTACTGTGTAATGGCTATAGACAAGAAGCAAGGTGGCCCCGTACTGTAATAAACAACTGAGCGCATGGCTGGGCTGCGTTTTCTGCAGTCGCTATGTGGGCGCCCCCGGGGCCTACCAGGCCACCCCACCTGTATCTGAAGGAGGAGCCGCGGCTGAAGAGGACAGCTTTGGTCTTGGGCTTTGGCTGGTCGGCGAGCCTGAAAAAGGTGTGGTGCTCCACGCACAGCTTCCAGAAGCTCTTGCTCTCGTCTCTGCTCCCCAGAATGAACTCCAGTGTGTCCTGGTAGGGCCCCTGAAAACAAGGTACATGGACAAGGACCTGCTCAGTGTTAGTGTAGGAGCAGAGCATATGAGACAATTCCACAATGACAGTGGAAGAAATGGTGTTCTCGGGCCCGGCGCAGTGGCGCAGTGGTTAAGGTCCTCGCCTTGCATGCCTGGGATCCCACATGGGTGCCGGTTCTAATCCCGGCAGCTCCGCTTCCCTTCCAGCTCCCTGCCCGTGGCCCGGGAAAGCAGTCGAGGATGGCCCAAAGCTTTGGGAACCTGCACCCACGTGGGAGACCCAGAAGAGGCTCCTGGCTTCGGATTGGCATAGTATCGGCCGTTGCGCTCACTTGGGGAGTGAATCATCAGACGGAAGAGCTTCCTCTCTGTCTCTCCTCTCTGTATATCCGCCTTTCCAATGAAAAAATAATAAAAATAAATCTTAAAAAAAAAGAAAGAAATGGTATTCTCACAGCTGACTACATATAGGCACCCACAGGCACACTCTGCCTCACAGGGGTGGCCTTGGCAGCCCTCCCTGCCCTAGCAGGCCAACCTGTGGCCATCCTGGCCCTTGTGCCTGTCTGAGGTCTAGTCTGTTTTGGGTGTCCACTGCACTCTCTCATGGTCAGTCCCAACAGATGGAATTCTGAGCATGCAGACAGTTCTGACCATGTGGCCACACATTTCTTTAACCCAGCCTGGAAATCCCCTCCCTCCCATCACCTCTCTGCATGGCTTCCATTCAGAGAAAAGCCTTGCATTTGCATTTGTGTGACCACGAAATCCACTTCCAGACAGCACAGGGACCTTGTGTGCAATACAAGCCCTGCAACCAAAACCCTTTCATTTAAGATGTATTTACTTATATGAGAGTGATGCATACAGATCTGGAGAGCTACAGGAGAGGTATTCCACGCGTTGCTCACTCCCCAAGTGCCCACAGCGGCCAGGCTGGGCCAGGAGCTCCACCCTGGTTTCCCCAGGAGGCAAACACTCCACCTCTGGAACCACCAGCTGCATTAGCAGGAAGCAGAGCCTGGATTTGAACCCAGCTACTCCAAGTGATGTGGGGGTCCCATGGGGTCATAGCAGCCAGGCTAAACATCTGTTCCAGGTACCTGGAATGACTGGCAGGTGTCTGCTAATGTGTTAAAAGCCAGATAAGCCTCACTTCTCTTCTGACTGACCGAAGTTTAAAGTCCCCCAAGAGTCACAGAGCATCTAAACCAACACTGCAAGGACGCTGGATCAACAATGTGCAGCTGAGACTCAAGCTGATACCCACACAGAACACTGGCATTGCTGACAGGCTGCCAGGGAGCCTGTGGCACCTGTTGGCTGCCTCCTGAAATGTTTGCAAGCACTGGGTCCACGCCGATTTAATTATCTCCCACAGGTGGCAGGAACCATCATGTCCCGCTCCCAGGGTCCCCATCAGCCCTGTGAGCAGAGCGCGTGGGTGTAGGTGCCCTGACATGGAAGTGAGAGTGCCGTGCTCCGTGGGAAAGCATCCAGACATTCCCAACAGTCGGCAGAACCCTCAGGTTGCAGACACCTACTATGTCCACTTTCACTCATTTTGGTCCAGTCATGCAACATTTCTTCAATGACCAATAACCAAGGCTTTTTCCATCAGAGGTCAGTTCTGAATCATGCACACAGTCCCTGGGGACCCTCTAGGCCATCCAGCCAGGGCAGGCTGTGCCTAGGACTCTGAGCTGGAGTTGCGCTGGCTTTGAGTAGCCTGTGGGGAGGGCTTGTGAGACAGTGCCATCCAGGCCCAGCCAGCCCTGTGTGGTGGGCAGTGTCTGAGGAGTCAGAGCCCACCACCCTGCAGACCTACCTTGAAACCTGGCCCTCAGCTCATGTGCCACAAGGAACACACAAGGGCTGCCTCGGTGTTCTAGAACTGGGACCAACGGGCCTCGTTGTTCTAGAATGGGGCCAACTGGCTCGTTGTTCTAGAATGGGACCAACTGGCTTGGTGTTCTAGAATGGGTCCAACGGGCCTTGTTGTTCTAGAATGGGGCCAACTGGCTCGGTGTTCTAGAATGGGACCAACTGGCTCGGTGTTCTAGAATGGGGCCAACTGGCTCGGTGTTCTAGAACTGGGACTTGTTCAGAGCAGTACTCACATGCACCTCTGGATGGAGCTTGATGAGGAACCTCTTCCTCTTGAAGCTCAGCTTGCGAACCTTGGACCAGTTGAACGTGTTGATCTTGGTGGTGCCCTGTGGTTGGGGAGACAGGGACTCAGCAGCGAGCTCGCAGTACAGCTTGTAGGGAGGCACCACCACATCCAGAACAATTTGACGTGGAACACTCCCCCTCTGAATGACAAACAGGTGGCCTTCCTCGATATGGCTCATTACAGAATATTCCATCAGGGTTGACACTTTGCATTCCTGAAGCCCACCCATGCACCCAGAGGAGTCTTGGGGCTGTATGTGGGAGTATGTTCAACTTGTCTGGAAAACTCTAGTGACCCTGGGTGCTGGATTGCCACGATGCCAAGGACAGAACCCTTGGCTTCAGGGAATGCTATTGGGGTCACCTTTCTAAAACAAGATTTCTTGGGCCCGGCGCGGTGGCGCAAGTGGTTAAAGGTCCTCGCCTTGCACCCCCGGGATCCCATATGGGCGCCGGTTCTAATCCCGGCAGCCCCGCTTCCCTTCCAGCTCCCTGCCTGTGGCCTGGGAAAGCAGTCGAGGACGGCCCAAAGCTTTGGGACCCTGCACCCGCGTGGGAGACCCGGAAGAGGCTCCTGGCTTCGGATCGGCATAGCATCGACCGTTGCGCTCACTTGGGGAGTGAATCATCGGACGGAAGATCTTCCTCTCTGTCTCTCCTCTCTGTATATCCGCCTTTCCAATAAAAAATAATAAAAATAAATCTTTAAAACAAGATTTCTTTTGAAGCACACTTATTTTCAAGATTTTATTTATTTGAAGGGCAGAGCTATAGCAAGAGGGAGAGACAGATCTTGCATCTGCTGGCTAACTCCTGAAATGAATGCAACAGCCAGGGCTGGGCCAGGCCTGAGCCAGGAGGCAGAAGCTTCTTCCAGGTTGCCTATGTAGGTGCAGGACCCAAGGACTTGAGCCATCCTCCACTGCTTTTCCAGGCTATAAGCAGGGAGCTGCATCAAAGGTGGAATGGTTGGGACCTAAACTGGTGCCCCTATGGGATGCTGGTGTAACAGGTTTACCTGTTGCGTCACAATGCTGGCCCCTCTTCATTTTGTTATTTGAAAGGGAGAGTTAGCGAGACAGCACCATCTTTCACTCACTGGTTCACCCCCCAAATGACTGCCAACAACTGCGGTTGGCACAGGTTAAAGCCAGGAGCCATCTGGGTCTCACATGTGGGTATACTGGCTACAGCATGTGGGCCCCCTTCTGCTGCTGCCCCAGGTGTATGAGCAGGAAGCTGATCCAAGTGGAGCAGCAAGCTGGAAGTGAAGCCCACGTGGGGGCTGGTGTTGTAGATGCACACAGCCATTGTCTTTGTCCATTGCCTCATGTCTGCCTTTGGAGACCCTGGACCAAGGCCAGCTCATCCAATCAGGTTTGTTGCTGACCCCTTCAGCACGGCTCACAGGGGCACTACAGTGAATCTTAACAGGACGGGGGTTGGGGCTGGGGGCTCTCTTCACAGTGTCCCCTGGGGACCACCCATCCAACATCATCTCCCTGTCTGGGTCTACCCAGGCTGGCTCCCTTGCCCGCAGGCCTCTTACAGGCCTGGCAACAGCAGTCACATTGCAACACTTCATCTCGGTACAGAAGGTGGTAGATCCGCTGCCATGAGCTTGCAGTTCCCCTGGGCTGGTCCTGGCCAGGGTCCTCCCTGCCCCTGACATGCTTCTCCCACCTGGACCCACGTGGCCATGAGGACATCTGGTGACCACAGCACTTAGGCAGGCTGTTCTGCTGCTGCCCACAGGGGCTCCTACCAGGAGACTGCAGTCTTAAGCTCTGAAAATTGTTTCTTTTTTTTTTAAAAGATTTATTTTTTATTATTTTTTTGATTGGAAAGGCAGATATACAGAGAAGAGAGACAGAGAGGAAGATCCTCTGTCCGATGATTCACTCCCCAAGTGAGCACAATGGCCGATACCATGCTGATCCAAAGCCAGGAGCCTCTTCTGGGTCTCCCACACGGGTGCAGGTTCCCAAAGCTTTGGGCTGTCCTCAACCGCTCTCCTGGGCCACGGGCAGGGAGCTGGAAGGGAAGCGGAGCTGCCGGGACAGAACCGGTGCCCATATGGGATCCCGGGTGTGCAAGGCGAGGACCTTAACCACTGCGCCACCGCGCCAGGCCCTCTTTTTTTTTTAAGATTTATTTATTTTTATTGAAAAAGCAGATATACAAGAGGAGGAGAGACTGAGAGGAAGATCTTTGTCTGTTGGTTCACTCTCCCAGTGGCCACAAGGGTTGGAGCTGAGCCAATCCAAAGCCAGGAGCCGAGAGCCTCTTCCGGGTTTCTCACATAGTGTAGGATCCCAAGGCTTTGGCCCATCTTCTCCTGCTTTCCCAGGCCACAAGCAGGGAGCTGGATGGGAAGCTGGGCCACCAGGATTAGAACTGGCACTTATATGGGATCCCAATGTGTGCAAAATGAGGACTTTTGCAGCTAGACTACCACACTGGGTCCTTATACACATAAAAATTGGTTCTGTGAAACGTGTTCTTTTAATGATTTATTTATTTTTATTGGAAAGCCAGATTTACAGAGAGAAGGAGATACAGAGAGAAAGATTTCCCACCTGCTGGTTCACTCCACAAGTGGCTGCAATGGCCAGAGCTGAGCTGATCCAAAGCCAACAGCCAGGAGCTTCTTCCATGTCTCCCATGAGGGTGCAGGGTCCCAGGGCTTTGGGCTGTCCTCGACTGCTTTCCCAGATCACAAACAGGAGCTGGAAGGGAAGTGGAGTAGCCCGGACATGAACTGGCACCCATCTAGGAGCCTGGTGCATGCAAGGCTAGGACTTCAACTTCTAGGCTATTGCACCAGGCTCAAAATGTGTTTTAAAAATATAATTGTATGAGGCTGGTGCCATGGTGTTACAGGCTAACTATCCTGTAGGGACAACGGTTCATGTTCCATTGCTCCACTTCCACTCCACCTCCCTGTTTATGGCCTGGACAGCAGCAGAAGATGGCCCAAGTGCTTGTGCGCCTGCCCTCACCTGGGAGATCCAGAACCTCATGGGTTCTCCCATCTTCATCAGTCCAGCTCTGGTCACTGAGGCCAGTTGGAATGGCCTTGAATGCGCCGGGATCCCATATGGGCGCCGGTTCTAATCCTGGCAGCTCCACTTCCCATCCAGCTCCCTGCCTGTGGCCTGGGAAAGCAGTGGAGGACGGCCCAAGGCTTTGGGACCCTGCACCCGCGTGGGAGACCCAGAAGTTCCTGGCTCCTGGTTTCAGATCGGCATAGCATCAGCCATTGTGCTCATTCGGGGAGTGAATCATCGGACGGAAGATCTTCCTCTCTGTCTCTCTTCCTCTCTGTATATCTGACTTTGTAATAAAAATAAATAAATCTTTAAATAAATAAATCAATCAACCTTTAACATATTTTATGGGCCAGGCGCGGTGGCGCAGTGGTTAAGGTCCTCGCCTTGCACACCCGGGATCCCATATGGGCACCGGTTCTAATCCCGGCAGCCCCGCTTCCCATCCAGCTCCCTGCCTGTGGCCCGGGAAAGCAGTGGAGGACGGCCCAAAGCTTTGGCACCCTGCACCCGCGTGGGAGACCCAGAAGAGGCTCCTGGCTTCGGATCGGCATAGCATCGACCCAGTTGTGCTCACTTGGGGAGTGAATCATCGGACAGAAGATCTTCCTCTCTGTCTCTCCTCTCTGTATATCCGCCTTTCCAATAAAATAAAAATAAATAAATCTTTTTTTTTAAAAAATATTTTATTTGGTAGAGTATAAGGGGAGAGGGGAGGGAGGGGAAGAGGGTGACAGAGAGAGTGGTGCATGGGAGACCCTCACTGGATAGTGCACAGCCAGGCGGTCCGGGCTAATCCGGAGTGGGAGCTCAGTGCAGGTCTCTTAAGTGCATGCAGAGACCTGGTGCTGGACGGGACCTGGTGCTGGACGGGACCTGGTGCTGGTGGGAACAGCTGCCTCTGATGGGATGGATACAGTTAAACAAAGCTGGACTGTGGCAAGGCGGGACATGACCACGTCACTCTGACATGGGAAAAAGGACCCAAGGGACCCAAGGGGCATTTTCATAAGCAAGTCCAACTCCTGGATTATAATTCCATCATGTGATTCTAGTCTATTCTGTTTCTAGCCTCTATCATGTGATTCCAATCTATTCTACATTACAGCTTCCATCATGTGACTCCAGTGTATTCTGTGTCACAGCCTCCGTCATGTGATCCTGGTCTATTCTGTCCCAAGTTTCTATCTCACACCAGCAGGAGGGCAAAGTTCACACTTGTAGACTTAGTACATAGTCCCTGCGAGAGGCCAGTTAGAACTGAAGATTGTGATGGGATAGCTCCGTGCCCAGAACAATGAACAGCTGCCCTGGGGTCAGCTGCCAGCCCGGAGTGAGTGAGCCATTTTGGGGGTGAGTGGGCATCCTGCATGAATGGGCAGACCTGGGGTCAGTCAGCATTCCTGGGCCAGTGGGCATCTTCCCCAGTGTGCAGTCAGCTCCTAGGCAGTAATGATAGTCACCACTGCTGGACACGGGTAGGGAAATGACTTGGGTACAAGTGTGGCTCAGATGTGCTAACCTTGCCTTCCAATTCAAGCCCATGGTTATTAGAAGGAAAACAGAGTGACACAAACATGTCGCACCAGGCTGCCTCTCCCACTGCCCAGCTTACCTGGAACACAAGGATGCCCATGTGGGAGACAGCCAGGTTAATCTTGGCACCCTCTTTATCAGAGGCCGCGTGGAATCTGATGCCGTATAGGTCCAGCTTCCGGGCGATCTCAAGCAGCTGGAAGTCTGACTCGGCTGGAGTCTGGCCCCTAAAAGGAAAGGAGGTTTTGGTCATGAAAATCATCGATATCTAAACATGACTGGCTAACTCAAATGATGCACAACCAACCAAGCACCAGCCCTGGGGGTCCCAGCAGCCTGGCACACAGTCAGGTTTCAGCTGCATAGGATGAAATCACAAGGTCGAATGAAAGACACCACAGCTGACACTTGACTTTATCCACATAAAGGATGTGCCATTCAGTTACAGGAAATGCAGGTAGTCATGACCCTGGTGGCAAACCGCCCAGGGCGGGGCTGCGCCAAGTGAGGTTCTGGTGTGAGGACCCTGGCGCCCTCCCTACGAGACCTGCTCACAAACTTCTGCCACCTTTTCGCTTCTAATTCCTGAGGGGCCAAGTCCTCAAGGACCAATGCAACGATGTGGGCATCCTTTCACTAATACCCACTTTCTGAAGAGGCTACACACATCACCACCGACAAAGAGGAACATTCGGGTGGGCAAACACACTTCCCACTCGGAACTGTGCCTATTTGAAAAGCTACCAGTGAAAGGTTTTATCTGAAAAGCACAGAAAGCAAGAGCGAGAGAGAGGTGACAGACAGAGACGGGGTAGAGATGGGAAATCACACACACATTTAACTGCACCTACTGGTTCACTCCCCAGATGCCTACAGTGACCTGGACCGGGCTAGGAGCCAGGGACCCCACCCAGGTTTTCCAGGAGAGCACCAGGTACCTGAACACTTGGCCATCACCCTGAGGGAAGCCTGAATCAGGAGGGGAACTGGGAATTAAATACTCCACTGGAACCACGTGCATGATCCACTAGGCCACCTGCTCACAGCTGAACACTTCTGGATTTTTTTTTTTAAAGATTTATTTTTATTATTATTTTTTTTATTGGAAAGGCGGATATACAGAGAGGAGAGACAGAGAGGAAGATCTTCCATCCGATGATTCACTCCCCAAGTGAGCACAACGGTCGATGCTATGCCAACCCGAAGCCAGGAGCCTCTTCTGGGTCTCCCACGCGGGTGCAGGGTGCCAAAGCTTTGGGCCGTCCTCCACTGCTTTCCCGGGCCACAGGCAGGGAGCTGGATGGGAAGCGGGGCTGCCGGGATTAGAACCGGTGCCCATATGGGATCCCGGGTGTGCAAGACGAGGACATTAACCACTGCGCCACTGCGCCGGGCCCCACTTCTGGATTTTTAAAAGATTTACTGACCTAAGTCAGAGTTACTGGGGCTACTACTGTGCTGCAACGTGTAGTCACTGATTGTGATGCTGGTACCCATGTGGGCACTGGTTTGAATCCCAGCTGCTCCGTTTCTGAAAGAGCTCCCTGCTTATGCCCTGGGAAAGCAGAAGATGGCCCAGGTACTTGAACCACTGCACCTACATGGAAGACCTGGCTGCTGACTGGCTCAGCTCTGACTGTTGCAGCAAACAGGAATTCACCAGCGGATGGAAGATTGATCTAACTCTCACACTGGGGGCCGCTCCTGAGGGGATGGCCAGCGCCCCACACTGTGCACTGGGGCCGCTCCTGAGGGGATGGCCAGCATGCCCACACTGCACTGGGGGCCGCTCCTGGAGGGGCCAGCGTGCCCACACTGCACTGGAGCCGCTCCTGAGGGGATGGCCAGCGTGCCCACACTGCACTGGGGCCGCTCCTGAGGAGATGGCCAGCGTGCCCACACTGCACTGGGGCCGCTCCTGAGGGGATGGCCAGCACCCCACACTGCACTGGGGCCGCTCCTGGAGGGGCCAGCGTGCCCACACTGCACTGGGGCCGCTCCTGAGGGGATGGCCAGCGTGTCCACACTGCACTGGGGCCGCTCCTGAGGGGATGGCCAGCGTGTTCACACTGCACTGGGGCCGCTCCTGAGGGGATGGCCAGTACCCCACACTGCACTGGGGGCCGCTCCTGGAGGGGCCAGCGTGCCCGGGACACAGCAGTAGTTTCCTGCCAGGCAGCGAGCTCCACAACACTTCCGCTGTGCCGGGCCTGTAGTCCCAGCTGCCACTGTGTAGATGATGTGTGAGGGCAAGCTGTCACTTACACGTGTTGCTGGTGCAGCTCCAGGATCCTGTGGAGACAGCGCCCCTGGCTGGGCAGGTACTCGCTGGCTTTGAGGTGCTCCCGGTCCAGGATTTCGTCATAATCCCCGATTTCAGCTACAGCAAGAGGATGCGAGTCAGTCATTCTAATTCTGAATGTGAACTATAAAACATTTGCACATATGCATGTATACAAAGAAAGGAAAAAAATCCTTAATGTGTAGTAAGATATTTCTAAAATCTGTTTCTGTATGTCAGTTTTCCAAGTATTTCAAGCTGTTAAAGGCCAGTGTGAGAGCTGTAGCCTTGTTCTGTCTCACAGCCGTGACTGTGACAGGGACTGCAGACATGGGGATGCTGGCGCCAGTGCAGCGTGTGGACGGACTATTCCTGTGACTCACACCTTCCATGCAGTTGTTCACAGCAGCCAGGACCACAGCAATGTGTTTCACTTGTTTTAGGATAATGTATTTTCAATCATTTTTTTCTACTCAAAATTTAAAACATATATATATATGTATATATATACATATATATAATTTGAAACGCAGAATTATAGAAAGAGGCACAGAGAGAGAGACTGACTTTCCATCTCCTGGTTCATTCCTCAGTTGGCCACAAGAGCTTGGCACAAGCCAGTCCAAAGCCAGGAGCCAAGAGCTTCTTCCGGGTCTCCCATGTGGGTGCAGGGGCTCAAGCATGTGGGCCCTTTCTTGCTGCTTTCCCAGGCTGTGAACAAGAGCAAGCCTGGAACTGGAGCAGCTGGGACTCGGAGCCACACATGTAGGTTCCGCCTCGCAGTGGCAGCTTCACCGCCGTGCCACAGCACCAGCCCTCACACTGCTATCCGGTTTCATGTGAAGCTACAAATGTTTTAAGATCACCAGTAAAGCCCAGTGTTTATCTTGGGCAACGTACTCCTTACTTTTCATTCTGAAGCAATCTCAGGCACCGTACAAAGTGGTCCCTGCTTGGAGCCACTGCACAAGCCTGCCACAAGGCACTGGGGTCTCCCGAGCACATGTGTGGTCGGGAAGGTAGGCCCTCCTGAGCTTGTGCAGGAAAGGACCAGTCTGGAACTTTGTGTTGAGTGGCCATGGCTTTGGCGCAGCTTCCAAGGGGGCAATGACAGTTGCCAGGAGCCACAACATCCCCCTCAGGGCCACTTGAGCTATCTAACTGCACCACAATCAATCAACAGCTCCACAGCACACACGAGGAAGGCACCTTGAGCCATATGGAAAAAGAGTACTAAAAACTTTTGCTGGTTCTGGTGCTGTGGCATATCAGGCTAAAACCTCTGCCTGCAATGCTGTCATCCCATATGGGTGACACTTTAAATCCTAGCTGTTCCACTTCTGATTCAGCTTCCTGCTAATGAGCTGGGAAAGCAGAAGCTGGCCTAAGTGCTCAGGCCCCTGTGCCATCATGAGAGACTCACAAAAAGCTCCTGGCTCTCCGCTTAGGCCTGGCTCACCTCGGCCACTGCAGCCTTTTGGAGAGTGAACCAGCAGATGCAAGATCTCTGTCTCTTCTCCCTCTCTCTGAAATTCTTTCAAGTACATAAAATAAATCTTAAGACCCTTTTACTGATGAGCACCAACAAGGCTTGTGGAATTTGCTGTTCACAGAGGATGATTCTGGAAAAAGACCACAGGCCTGCAGCTGGGCTCCTGCTGGGTGTCCTGCTGACACCATCTGTCCCCAGTGAGACCCTGCTGGAGGACCTGGCCCAGCCTGCAGTCCAGCAGCAGTGTGCGTGCCTGCGTCTGTGCCGATGCCAGTGGCCGCGCGAGGCCTTGGCAGGGCCATCCTCCGTGCTTTCCCCGGGCACCTGCTCTGCCCTTCATGGCTGCCTCTCCACTTCTGAACCACGCCCTGCTCCCTGTGAGATGCTGAGGGAGCACCCCGTCATCCTGCCTGATGCTTAACCAGTTGGGGCGGCTGTCACTGCCCCAGGGAGGCCTCTTTCAGGGCACAGACATGCTGAGGCCTAGGTCTCAGTAGTGTGTGTAGCTGGCTGGCCTGTGCATGCCCCTCCCTGAGCAGGTGCCCTGCCCACGTGCAGTTGAGCTGTGCTGGCAGCCGGGTACTGACACTGCAGAAGATGGGATGTGAGGAGGGCTGCGGTGGTGTCGGCACAGACCAAACGTTGCTCCAGCAGGTCTCTCTTGAGCTGCAGGGCGAACAAGTACCTAGAGGGGATTCAAAACAAGCAAAGGTCAACCCCAGCTCAGCTGACAGCGCACGAGGCAGGGCCTCACACACGGGCCAAGTCACAGGTGCCTCTCACACAGGAGGTCCCTACTGTGGGCGACTGGCTCCCTTGTCCAGGCCATCAGGGAGAGAGCCATGGCCGTGTGCACTCCCCTGGGACTGTTACACAAAAGAAGCCACTTGCAATTCTGGATGGATCCAATGTCATTCTGAGGTCCAACAGACTGATAGCACATGGTCTCAGCTAGGATCTGAGTGCAGCTAAAGAATAAATCTCAAAATATATGTATCCTTGGGCCCGGCGCGGTGGCGCAAGTGGTTAAGTCCTCGCCTTGCACGCCCGGGATCCCATATGGGCGCCGGTTCTAATCCCGGCAGCCCCGCTTCCCTTCCAGCTCCCTGCCTGTGGCCTGGGAAAGCAGTTGAGGACGGCCCAAAGCTTTGGGACCCTGCACCCGCGTGGGAGACCCGGAAGAGGCTCCTGGCTTCGGATCGGCATAGTATCGGCCCGTTGCGGCTCACTTGGGGAGTGAATCATCGGATGGAAGATCTTCCTCTCTGTCTCTCCTCTCTGTATATCCGCCTTTCCAATAAAAAATAATAAAAATAAATCTTTAAAAAAAAAAAAATATATGTATCCTTTCACTGCATGGCAAATACCACAAGCACTAGTGGCGTTTGTTACGAGGTTGCAAACACAGGAGCCACACACATTCCAGCGCGGCTGGGACGTGGGTTCTTGAGCAAGTGATTACAGCTGCTGCACACTCCAGAACACTGAGCCATGTGGGCCTGTGCACGCAGTGCTCTCATGGCCACCAACATTTTCTGCAAGACTGCAAGTCCCAGACACACTCACGCGTCCACAAGTCCAACCGGTCAGGCATCCCTGGACACAGCCTTACCACCTGGTGCCTCTGCACTCCTTGTCACTGCTCAGATGCCAGCGACACGCAGCAGTGTGGGGACAGCAGGGTCCGGAACAGGTGTGATGGACCCTGCAGGTCATGTGTGGCTGCGACTGCTCTGTCAGCACGTAGGACCAGGACTTCGTCTGTCTGCACAGGAGGCCACTCCTATGCTGTGTGCACCAGGCTCACCCACTTTTAAGATTAATTTATTTGAAAGGCAGAGAGTGAGAGATCTTTCATCTCTGGCTCAGTCCCAGATGGCTGCCAACAGCTGAGGCTGGGCTGGCAAGTAGAAACAGGAGCCAGGAGCTTCATCCAGGTCTCTCCCATGGGTGCAGGGGCCCAGGGACTTGGCCAATCTCTCCTGGCTTGCTAGGTGCATCAGCAGGGCGCTGTATTACAAGTAGAACAGCTCGGGTTCAAACTGGCATCCACATGAGATGCTGATGCCACAGGCAGAAGCTTTACCGCTGTGCCACACTGCTGGTCTCATCTTTTTATTTTTAAAGATTTATTTATTACAGAGAGACGAGGACACACTCCCACATGCACAGAGAGAAATCTTTGATTCACTGGCTGACTTCTCAGATGACTGCAACAAGCCAGGGCTGGGCCTGGTGGAAGTCAGGAGCCAGGCACTTGAGCCAGGTCCCCCATGTGGGTGCGGGGGCTTCAGCAGATGGGCTGTCTCCCAGTGCATTAGCAGGGAGCTAGATCAGAACCGACACCCACATGGGGTGCTGGCGCCACAGGTGGCAGCTTTACACATGGTGCCACAGACGTAGCCCTGCAGCCAACCCTTCCATAGCTGTATGTTGTGGCCATCAGCCCCTGGACAGCAGCTCCCAGCGCCTTTACCTTGTGTATTCTTCCTGCAATTGACCAGGATCAGGAGGGAAAAATTTTACAGCCAGGCGAAGCACTGTGGTCCTTGGTCCTATGAGAAGAATGGTAAACTTCACAAAGAAGGCCAACCTGTTCTCACTGAGTAACCGGGCCGCAGAGGCTGGAGCTGCGTACTGCCACAGATCTGAGGGAGGGGGATGCTAAGCAGGCACCTCCGATGTTGGCCACATGGGGACAGCTAGGAGGAAGATGGATCTGCATGAAGCAGAGAAGCCTCGGGAAACGGAGACGTCAGGATTCTGAAATACATGTCTGCTTAGAGTGTACTTTTAAGGGCTTGTTTGAAAAGCTGAGAAAGAAAAAGAAAAGAAAAGAGAGATTCTGGTTCTCTCCCGATGGCTTACAGCCAGGGCTGGGTCAGGTGGAGACTAGAAGCTGCTTGCAGGTCTGCAGGGGCCCATGTGCCAGGGCCGTCCTCGGCTGCTTTCCCAGGTGCACAGGCAGCAAGCTGGAAGTGGAGCAGCCGGGATAGAAACCCTCACCCTTGGGTGCTGGCATTGCAGGCGGTGACTTAACCTATTGTACTGCAAGGCCGGCCCTTTGGTTTATATTTTAGGATTAAAAGTGACCAATAAAAAGTTAGGGTATTTATATTATTAGTAGTAGTGAAAATCTGCATTATTTCTAAAACCTTTCTATACTTTAGTGAAAAAAAATGTTAACATCACTGAGGTGCTAATTGGAACAGTTTCCAACCAAAAACAAAACAAAACAAAACAACAGCAACAAAAAACGAGAGCTTTTCTGCAGCCAGAACAGAAGCAGGCCTCTGGGCGGGCTGGGCTCAGCGGGGTGACTTGCACCCAAAACGGTGCAGGTGATTCGAAGTGGTGACTTAACCTTGCAAAATTACTCACCTGGACAACTAGTGAACATTACTATACACTTTAATTTCCCAAATTTAATAATCACACTCACGATTACAATTGCTTTTATGAATACAGAGCAATGATAACTATTTAACTATTAAAATGCTAATTAAAAGAGGAAACTTCTCCCTCCTTGTTGCCAGCTGCATCTGCATGTACTGGCTACATGCCGTACCCAAAATGGCGCCGGCCGGAAAAGCCACACCTTGGTTCCTGGTGACGTAGCTTTCGTGGTACTGCGCAGGCGCCTAGCGCATGCACAGTGAGCTGAGGCGTGGCCGGCGCATGAACACTGGGACTGACGAATCCAGTCGCCCAGGACCCTGCGTAATCATGACGCCGACCTATCATCGGCGGAGGCGGGGCCAGGAGCAGACAGCCTGCCGGGGTCGGAGCCTTCCCTCCTCATCTTCGTGCGCGCAATAAAGATTACCGCAGAAGACTTCACTCGCGTCTGCCTCTTATCGCCGGACGATAAGAAACGTGGGCGCGACACCTCCTGACTTGGACACTCCCACAGGCTTTTCTATGTTGGTCAGAAACTCGGCTGTTTCCAGACAGCAAATCCTGCTGCCCACAGATCTGAGGTAAGCACCTGGGGATACTCTGAGCACCCTCATACTATAGCTTAGACCAACAAACCCTCCCAAACCAGGCTCTCTCCGGGAGCAGCGTGCGAGAGGGCCGAGCAGAGGACTTACTGGGCACTTGCCGGCCGAAGGGTTTCATGGGTTCCAGCCAGACCTGTGCAGGAATGGATGGGGACAGTCCAGTGAGTAGCATGTTCCATCAGCAAGGCCACGAAGACCGCAAAACGCATGGCAGCGAGAGAGGTCACCTCCTCTCGGACGTTGGCTGGCCATGCAGCATGCAGCGGTGGCAACAGAAAGGGCCCCCACCACAGGCGACCCGTGTCTTCTGGCAGACACTGCCCTGGTGTGGAAGGCCACCCAGCCACCTCTGTAAAGTCAGCTTACTCCCACACCACTGTTAGGAGACCACGAGACTCAAGGCCATTCTTACAACACAGCAGAACAGGGTCTGTTTGGCTATGTGCTGATGGACAATGTGGGTTGGGGTGGGAGAAGTCCAGGTACAGACAGGCCATTTGGGTGGGTGATTTGGACACTCACACTCCACAGCTGTCCAAACACCACAACCACCTACCCAGCAGCCTTGGGCACTCTGAAACTCCAGCCCAAAGTAGTCACACTCGGTCAGATTCAGGCGCCTCCACACGAGGGTCAGCAAGGTCTGGCCGTTGTTCCTGGGCTGTAGGAGAGGGGAGAGAAGGCACATTCATGAACACGGCAGCAAGAGTGCTTCCTCCCGCACAGCCCTGCTCCATCTCGCCTTCCTTCTGCTAGGACTCAGAAACTCTGCAACAAGGAAATGAAACTCTTGGGAGGAGCTGGCACCGTGCCACAGTGAACAAAGCCTCCATCTGTATGGTCAGCATCCCTTATGGGCCCTGGCTCGAGTTCTAGCAGTTGCATTTCTGATCCAACTGCCTGTCAATGGCCTGGGAAAGGAGCGGATGGTGGCCCAAGTGGGCCTGGCCCAACCCTGGCCCCTGCAAACATCTAAGGAGTGGGACAGCAATGGAAGTTCTTTCTTTCTCTGTAACTCTTTCACAACAAGTAAATACATGTTAAATTTAAAAAGCTAGCAAGCAATACCAGACAGGGCTCAGCTAAGTATTCTGAGTGTCTTTTCACTCATGTTGCCTGTACTTTTAGACTCCAGGCTACTTCAGCCAACATCAGACAGCTGTGACAGCTCCTGAGAGGACTGCTCTCTTGGTCCCTGGTTCCCAGACACTCAGCCAATGGATCATCTGGCAGCACTCGGGTGAATGAGAGGAGAGTGGACTAGAACAGTGTTCTGGTGTGTGGGTGGGGCAGTTTGTGATGCTGGTACCATCTGAGTTCCAGCTGCTCCACTTCCAAAGCAGCTCCCTGCTAAGGCCCAAGTGCCTGGGCCCCTGCACCCATGGGAGAGACCTGGGTGCAGCCCCTGGCACCTGACTTTTATGAATGAATCGATGATGGAAGATGTCTCTTTCCAGTTCTCCATCACTCTGCCTTTTATCCTTATTAAAGAGAGGTGAGTTTTCACACTCCAAGACAAGCCCCCGACGGAGGGTGAGAACATCACCTTTGCTTGGCAGTGTCTGCAGGAGGCCAGGCCCTACCAGTCTCTCAGGGAAGATGCCAACTGACTGCATGGTGAAGGACTCCAGAGAGCATGACGGGCAAGCTACAAGGGCTGTTCTGGGTAAGCCCCCGCAGGAAGCCCAGACATCCATCTGGCCTTTCAGTAGGTGTGAAAGCCCTCTAAGATAAAACTCAGAGGCTGAGATGCCACCACAGAACTGGTGCAACACTGGAAGTGTGTGCACCCCGAGCTCGGCACGGTGCAGGGCGGCTGTGGACAAGTGTGACCTACACGGAGGCCATCTACAAATTTCTGCAAAGGCAGCGTGCCCTCCTGAACCCAGCAAGCCTCTGCTGGAACTCCTGATCATATGAAGTACGCGGTCTGGACCCATGCCGCCAGCAACCTGCTGCACTCAGGTCCATCCCAGAAGCACAGCTCAGTATGGGAACAAGGCTTCCAGTTCAGACAGATCTCTAAAAGCAACATTTATTTAATATTTATTTATATGGAAGGCAGAACACCAGAGACAGGAGTCAGTCACACACTCACACATCTTCTGTTGACTGGTTCGCTCCCCAAATGCTTGCCAAAAGTTAGAAGCACACACCAGTCTGGAAGGCCAACAGACCAATCAATGAAAGGCAAATTGCCTGTAATCTACAAATAACTGAAAAGCCTGATACGCTTTTACTATCCTATGTTATTCCAAAATGGGTTGGGAGAGCAGAGAAATCTTCCACCTTCTTAGAGCATGTGAGGAAGATGTTAAATATAACCTATCAAGATTGTAACAGGTAACTTACAGACAGCAGACTAGAATTTGCATTACACATTAGCAAAAACTATAAAGGCATACAGTGTTCCAAGAGTCACCCTGACAGCCTCTTGACAGGAGGTCATATGCACAGAGCAGGAGTGGAGCAGGAGGACAGGAGGAGGCTTGTATCTCAACCCTGAAGACTCCCGGATCCTCACCAAGGACTACCAGTATGTGCGCCAAGGACTATATCCCAACAGCCAAGGAGACCACGGGGAATTGGAGTGCCCTCGTAGGCCAAGAACTCTGAGGTCATCCATTCCCTATTGAATCTCCCACACGGGATGGAAGAAGCCCAGATCCTTCCTCACAGGATCTAATGTCATCAGAACAACAGCCAGGAGCCCTGAGCAGTCCTCAGAAACAGAACAGTAAACTTCCTTCCAGACACGGGAGGGGAGCTTTCTCCAGTCCTAACTCAATTCCAACTTTGGCTCCCCACCCTCTCTTGCAATGACCATCAGGGTCACTCTGGAAGCCCCCAAAATTAGATCAGATAAACAGAGACGAATGAGGAAAGATTAAAACAGACAGGAAACAGTTTGGACTCCCATATACCTAACTAGGTAGGACACAAAGATTAGTTACTCCTCACTAAGGTATTGAACCCCTCTTAAAACTGTTCTGCTCCTCAATCGTCAACATATGGCTTGTTAGCGGTATACACCTGTTTGGACTATCCCAAATTGTGTGTAGTTCAGTAGAAATCATACTTGAATACTTAAAGCTGCTAAATATATAAATGAAAATAGACATGAGACAGCTGAATAGTACCATATAACTATTTTAAGGTATATAGCTGCCGGTTGTATACAAACTATAATTGAGATATCAATGAAGCAGTTACGACAATGTGGTTAAGAACTTGCATTTTCTAACATACTGGTCATCACTACCATGTCAATTAATTTCATGATGTTGTAAATTGTTGTTGAAATTGTGCAGGGGCTTCTCATCGGAAGGGAAGGTATTCTGCCAGCCCTACTTTTAGACTAGGGATGGTCTCCCAATGAAACTGTTGAATTTATCTGGACAGTAAGATGTTAGACTCCGTTCATGGTCCATGCCCACAATGAAGGAATCATGACTGCTTATGATCTGTACTATTGTAACAATATGGAGGAATTCAATATGGGGTGTGGGCTTGGGGAGGGGCTGGGGGAATCCCAGAGCCTAAGAAACTGTGTCATAAAATGAAATAAATGTAGTTTAAGAGGAAAAAAAAAAATTTAAGGTCCGGCATGGTGGCCTAGTGGCTAAAGTCCTTGCTGGTTCAAATCCCAGCAGCTTCACTTCCCATCCAGCTCCCTGCTTGTGGCCTGGGAAAGCAACTGAGGACAGCCCAGAGCCTTGGGACCGTGCATCCGAGAGGGAGACTTGAAGGAAGCTCCTGGCTCCTAGCACTGGCCGTTGCAGTCGCTTGGGGAGTGAATCAATGGACGGAAGATCTTTCTCTCTGTCTCTGCTCCTCTCTGTATACCTGACTTTGCAAAAAAGATACATAAATATTTTTAAAATTATTATTATTAACATTATTATTATTACTTTATTTAGGGCTGGCATGATGGCCTGGTAGATCCTCACCTTGCAGGTGATGGGGATCCCATATGGGCGCCGGTTCTAATCCCGCCAGCTCCACTTCCCATCCAGCTCCCTGCTTGTGGCCTGAGAATGCAGTCGAGGAAGACCCAAAGCCTTGGGACTCTGCACCTGCATGGGAGACCTGGGAGTGGCTCCTGGCTCCTGACTTCGGATTGGCTCAGTTCTGGCCATCACGAACATTGGGGAGTGAACCAATGGGCAGGAGGTCTTTCCTTCTCTCTGTGTATCTGACTTCCAATTAAAAAAACAAACAGACAAACAAACAAACATAGTGGAACAGCTGGGACACGAACCAGTGCCAAATGTCAGGACCTGGAAAGGACCTATTTGCTTGAATTACTCTGCTGGGCTGAAAATCTACAGCTCTAAAAACATAGCTCAAAAGGTTAACAAGAGAGGAGCTGGGACCAGGCAATCAAGAAGTAACTTCCTGGGGGCTGGATGCAGAGACATGTAGAGATGAGGAGGGACATGAAGGAATCGGAAGTCACACGCTGTGCCCTGTGCACACTCAACCTCACACTGTGCCCTGTGCACACTCACACTGTGCCCTGTACACTCACACCTCACAACTGTGCCCTGTACACACTCACACATCACAACTGTGTCCTGTACACACTCACACCTCACACTGTGCCCTGCGCACACTCACACCTCACACTGTGCCCTGTGCACACTCACACATCACAACTGTGTCCTGTACACACTCATACCTCACACTGTGCCCTGTACACACTCACACTGTGCCCTGTACACTCACACCTCACAACTGTGCCCTGTACACACTCACACCTCACACTGTGTCCTGTACACACTCATACCTCACACTGTGCCCTGTGCACACTCACACTGTGCCCTGTACACTCACACCTCACAACTGTGCCCTGTACACACTCACACCTCACACTGTGTCCTGTACACACTCATACCTCACACTGTGCCCTGTGCACACTCACACTGTGCCCTGTACACTCACACCTCACAACTGTGCCCTGTACACACTCACACATCACAACTGTGTCCTGTACACACTCACACCTCACACTGTGCCCTGTACACACTCACACCTCACACTGTGCCCTGTACACACTCACACCTCACACTGTGCCCTGCGCACACTCACACCTCACACTGTGCCCTGTGCACACTCATACCTCACACTGTGCCCTGTACACACTCACACCTCACACTGTGCCCTGTGTACACTCACATCTCACACTGTGCCCTGTACACACTCACACCTCACACTGTGCCCTGTACACACTCACACCTCACACTGTGCCCTGTACACACTCATACCTCACACTGTGCCCTGTACACACTCACACCTCACACCGTGCCCTGTACACACTCACACCTCACACTGTGCCCTGTGTACACTCACATCTCACACTGTGCCCTGTACACACTCACACATCACACAGTGCCCTGTACACACCCACACATCACACTGTGCCCTGTACACACTCACACCTCACACTGTGCCCTGTACACACTCACACCTCACACTGTGCCCTGTACACACTCACACCTCACACACTGTGTTCCCTCACATATTGCCTCCTGTGCTTCCTCTAGATGCCAGTGAAACAGTATGGCTGACAAAGCATTTGCAGCATTCTGTATGTGACACTATACACAGAGAGGCTGGACAGAGGTGAGGACACCATCTGGGGAGACCACCTTCAGCAGT